ATTACCGATCATTAAAAGACCTCAGCAGAAGTAGCCCCCAAGCAACTTGTGGAAGAGAACCACAAGCCACAAGGGGCAGTACTTACAGGGGCACCTAGGGAGAGTAACCCTAGGCACATGCAGTCCGCGTACTGGTGAAATTACTTCTGGCTCGCACACCACCACAGGACAGGACCACACCACAAGGTACAGCACTGAATAGAGTACTGTCTGGAGTCGGAGTCGCACGACTACCAGGTCTCACATCAGCCACAGAACTGATGGGTTGGATAGCCGGTGCGGGGGTTTGGGGCTCCCCCTTCTCCCTCCCGGAGAGGCGGGAGCTGTGTAGACAGCGGCGTGGTGACAGTTGTAACGTCATGCCCGTTTGTTCGTTTATCGTTTGTGGAGTTCTGTCCAACAGTTCAGCTTTCAGTAGCAATATTTTACCAGATAGGGGGTTTGTTTTGAGGTGCCTACCTTTCTGGGTGCTTGACTCGGCCGATGGCAGACATAAAATGCTTCCAACCACATAGGGGTTTCTATAGACCATTGCTCCTTGTGCCTCTCTGAGGGGGCCAGATTCTGGCTTGTGGTCCCCGGTAGGCCTAGAACTCCATTCGCTGGACTGATGCCAGGGTCTAATACGGTCACATCAGCCAGGATAGCTCGAGAACTGAAGGGGCTTCCTGCAGAAAACTCCTCCAACAATGAAAACAAATAACCAAAATGTTGTCAAAAGTAGCACGAGCCTGTTTGCCCACTTCTTCCCCTCCCTCTTTGGAAAAAGGAGGGAGACGGAATTGGTCAGCCAGCCTGCTCCACTCTCATTTCTTATGATGCTGGAACACACCAACTCCCTGGGGAAGTGGCGGTGTCAGGGAGTCTCCAGGGTTCACCCAGAAATTGGCATTTCATTCCATTCAACACTGGTGTTCTGTGGGGAGCCTCTTGAGGCTTCCTGAAGGTAACAACCCACAGAGAATGAAAAGAAAAGGGCACTTACCAGTAAGGAGGCAGCACTGTAAGTATCAAAATGAGGACAAGACACTCGGCCACGACACTTGTCCCAAGGTAACACAGGATCGCTGAGGGCCAAGAACGTTCACAAGTGTCGGAAATTTCTGACACACAAAGTACTGCATTAACCCCTAGCACAGCACGATAAATGTGTTGTGTTAGGAAATTAAGTTTACTAACAATATTAATTTTTAGTGAGGAAGTGCCAAAAGTTTCCTAGTATTGATGGTGGGCTATTGCGTCACCCACCACATCTCACGCGGTGATGAGACCTTTATCTAATTCTTATTAAAACCAGTTTGCAATTTACTTTCATTTACAGTTGTTATTTAGAGTTGAAATTACAGTAATTGAATTTGGCAAGAATTAAAGTGTACTTCCGTCTCAAGGTAAATTTCCACATCCGTGACATGTTGATTCATAGGCAGAATAATAATAAAGTCATGTATTCAGCATTTCTTAAATGTGCTTTAAATCATGAAAAACCTTTCGATCCAGTGTTATGAACAATGTAAAATTGTTCTCTGAACTTTGATGTAGTATAATATTAGGGTGTAAAATGACGTCAATACTGTCTTGCTAGTGAACGAGATAAATTAAATAGTGTGGCTAATTTCCTGGACGTTCACCACGATCGAGGAAGGAGGATGCGTCACTTGTGCACAGAGTCTCACGACAACACGAGCTCGATCTGATCCCTGCTGGAGCAAGCCAATTAGCATCATCCAATATTTGAGTCATCCGACATACCATGGCTCCCAGACTTTGCTGCCAGCTTCACAAGACAAGGAAAATTGTGTCCGGTCAGTTATTTATTGGGATTTATGGCCATATTTACCTGTACTGTATTAGAATTAGCAGGCCATTACGCCACAGGAGATCTTATACATCCAGAGTAAGTTTAGGCCCAAACAGGAAGTTATTCCATTCACTTGAGATTAACTGGGAAAATATTAGCACTGCAGGAATTACGTTGTATGTTTTTTGCAGAGTGCAGATAGTCAGCCGGGAGGAAGCCGCTTCAACTTATGGGTTTCACTTGGGCTCGACACAACTAACCAGGCTATAATTTTGACTGACTCTCGAGAAGTTCCCCCTGACATTTCATACGCATACCTATTTATTTATTTATTTATTTATGCATATACAAGAATGTACATAAGGAATGTGAGGATACAATTATGGTAATTACAGTCTTGTAAAGCCACTAGCACGCGCAGCGTTTTGGGCAGGAAACTCGAAACCTACTCGATAGATAAGCCCTCTAAACTTATTCATTGATAGTTGTAGTCTACTAACTCTATAAAAATTTATTAATTACCATGATTTACTAATCCCATGATTACATAAGAATATATGGAGGATTTAGCCATATTAAATCAACCCCCCAAGGTTGTGTAAGTGGCAACACCCAAGAGGTATATAAATCAATCATACAGTCCACTCTTTACCGTCCATTCAATTATAACTACTGTAATCTTAATATAAATAAAGACCTGCTGGGAAATCCCACACAAGGTACCTGGCCGCCAAGAGCCTGTTCAACCACCAAAACCCCCATGCCCGAATATCATCCCAAAACATTCACAAACACAGTTGTCAGAGTGGTATACTTCCAGACATCATGGGCAGCATGAGTGTAGACCGCAGGCTGGCTAGACTTAATGACACTGCAGGTGACCTGAGAAATACGAGCCCTGGAACAGGAAACCAGGGAAACCGGATCAGCCCAAAATGAGTCAACCGAAGCAGAACTGGTGGCATGAAGGTAGCGGCATAAAGCTGCCACTAGACAAAGCGTATGATGCGCCACTGGCTGAACCAACCAAAGAAACCCTCTGGAAGCCTGACTCATTCTTTGCCTACCATTAATTGCACTTAGGTAATAACCAGGGCCAAAAGCACAAAACCCCCGGCATCGGAGAAGAGAATGAAACTCACCCACCCAACAACCGGAGGAAAATCAATAAAAATAACAGCCTTAAAAATACAGTCCCAGACTGAAGGGGTCACTGTAAATGGGACAGAAAGAAGAAAAGAAAGTACCCAGTCAAGAGACAATGCTGGCTGCTGGCTCAGGTGGCACATAAGCAGGCCGGATATGAAACAGTGTGAGAAAGCGTATAAAATGAGGCCAAACAGGCATCAACCCTGAACGCAAGCTGGAGTGGCTCCGCCAGCATCGCATAATATGAAGCAACAGTATTCGGCATAAGATGTGAATCAAGAAACAGCCAAGAAAGAAAGAACAGAACAACCCACTTGGAAACCGAAGAGCAATGATGAAGCGATAGAAAAACGGCAAAAAGATCCCCAAGAGACTTAACTTCACCTGCAAAAGAAGACCACAGGTGAGACACCATTTAACTAGTCTCCTGATCACCATACAGATGATAAATATGCATCAAAAACTCCATACATGTAGAGCAGAAGAGATGGCCAAACCAGCAATGTATGTCACTTGCCGGACTCTCTGAAAGAGGCAGAGGAGCAAGCAATGCAACAAAATCAAGGTTGGGCTGGCCATAAAGGAGCCAGAACACATCAGCACTCCAAGCAATAGCAGGACCTGGGGAGAGGCAAAGAGAGACCCCCCCCCCCACCCTGTCTCGACAAGTCCAGCCAAAATGCGTCGACTGCAAAGGCCTCGTAGTCATGGAACGGTGCCACATAAAGGGCCAGACGGCAAGACCATGCCAACGCAAAGAGATTCATGTTCTGCCACCCGAATGTCCGGCAAAGCCAGAGAAAGGAATCAGCATTGACAGTCTATTCCTTGGAAAATGGATGGAAACAGGACAGACTGTCGGCCAGGATGTCTCAACACAGACCAATGCAGAAGATGTACAATGACCATAATACAGTAGCTGCACTATCAGGACCTGCAGCACTGTGTCATGAAATGTCAGCACTGCAGAAATGTCCAAAAAGAAACAGTGCAGAGCTACAAACTAATTAAGTTTACAACCGAGATTTAACAGCACAGAAGTTGCTGTTAAACACATTGGACATAATCATACTGAAGCCAACACAATAGTCATAAATACTCATCCATTGGCTAAGGAAGACAAAAATGAGTAACACCTACCAAGCAGAAAGAGGCCAATACCCTAATAAAGTGCCAGAAGCCTGGGGGGGCCCAGAATATTAGCCATGGACATATCGACAAAGAAAACTGACACAGCAGCAAGCTTCTGCAAATCAGGGGATAAATCACTGAATGGCTAGGCTGATAACCTTCTGGATGACATGAGTGAGGTAGTCCTTGGAACAAGGAGTTGACAAATAAGCTGTCATCTACCACAACCTGAGTAGCAAACCCATGAACCCCACTCAAAACCACCTGACAAACCTGGGACAAGGTGGTCATCTGGAATTTGGGAAAAGGAATATGCCAAATGAGAACAGACGGGTCCAGAATAATGCAAAGTTCATGAGTATCGAGCTCTACAGAGCAGCATATTTCGCTGGTGGATGCCAGGCACAAAGTGAGGACAGTTATCTCTCTCAACCAGGTTGTACTGGCTAGTGCTGCCACCTGGTGGTGGTTGATCTAGGTGAATAGTTAATAGTTAGACTGTTTTAGAATTATTATCTATTCCAGAGGTTCCAGTGATCATTCTAAGAAGACAGGTGCTGAGTGGTTTGTTGTGTTTTTTGTTATCATAGTGAACAGTTTTTCTCATTGGTAGTCTGACGTATGCTCTCCACTGTGCCTCTTGCCCCTGGACTATGGGACAAAACCATCTGAAAAGTTACATTTCATGGTGTGGGTTTAAATTAGCGCAGGGCCTGCCATACTGGCAATGTCTCGAGTGAAGCCATGGTCATGACTCGGGAGAGCAACCGAGTAGCCTTTCTCAGACACTATGACTACCATTTAATTTATATTGTGAGGATTAATTGTACATCTTTTATTATTTTTATCTGTTAAAAGAAAACTATGCTCTAATCATTAATACAATTAAAAATGACATAATTTAAAATGATTATTAATTTACCATAAGTGACCACTGTGAGTGTTGTATGAGTGAGGTGGTGAGAGACAATGCTGTCCTTAACACTGTACCGATTCCCTCCATGTTGGACGCTCCAGTATAACAGTCATGAGCTCGGATCACCAGTTCAACACTCATGCTATGTACTGCAAATATAAAGGAATTATTATTTTATCTTTTAAATAATTTATAGATTAATAAATGTATGGATAAATTAGAAAAAAACAGCATTGAATGTAATGAAACGCCATTTTCTGGTTGAACCCTGGAGGCTCTCTGGAGCTATCAGGATGATGTGTGATATATTAGTTGGGGGGCATCAGTCAATTGGAGTTCAGCCTTCTGGGGACCACGAGCCAGAACCTGGCCCCCCTCAGAGAGGCAAAGGGAGCAATGGCCTATGAAAACCCCCTTGTACTTTGGGGCATTTCATGTCTGTCATTGATCGGGGTTAGCACCCAGAAAGGTAGGCATAACAAAACAGACTCCACATGGTAAGAAAAATTGTAACCGAAGACCGAACAGAGAGGCAGAACTCCCCAACCCAAAAAGCAAGCAAACAAGCAAACGTCACATCCTACTGCCGCACCGCTTGTCCGCACAGCCCTTCCCTTCCCATGCTGGCTACTCATACCACCAGTTCAGAGGCTGAGCATCAAAATAATGCAAAAAATGCCAACCAGAGGGATGGAAGGTGCCAGCGAGCCTCTGGGGTTCACCCAGAAAATGGTGTTTCATTACATTCAATGCTGGTTTTCTGTGGGGAGCCGAGCTACCTAACCCAAAGACAAGTAACAGAGGGACTTATCTGGGAGGCAGCCGCCACTCACTCCTCAATTTGAAGTCAAGACAACTGACTGCAACCTGTGACCCAAAGCCACACACGAACAACTAAGACCAGGAATATTGACCAGGTAACAGATGGCCAGGACTCTGTTCGACCTCCAAAATCCCCACGCCTGAATGTCAGCCCAAAACATGTTGCCTAAGACGGCAGCCAAAGCAGCGAGGACGTCATGAGGACGAGGATAGTCCACAGGCTAGCTAGACTTAATAACCCTGCAGACACCCTGGAAGACCCGAGCCCTGGAACAGGAAACAAGGAAAACTAGATCAACCCAAAGCGTGTCCCCGACCACCAAGGCCAAGGTACACAAATAAACAAAGCACAAGAAAGCTTACAAAACAGAGTAGAAGTGACATCCACCCCGATCGCAAACTAGAGCGGCTCCGCCAGAGAGGCACAATATAAGGCGACAGTATTCGGCATCAAATGACGGTCCTGAAAAAGCCAAGAAAGAAAGAAAGGACAAGATAACCCGATCAGAAATAAAAGACAAGTTACGAAGAGAGAGAAAATGGGAGAAAGAATGGCAAAAGACTTCATACTATCGCCTAAATGAAGCTCTCAGGTCGGACACTATCAATGAAGCCACCTGATCACCATAATGGTAATCAGGTGAAATGATTACTGAAATGGCTGGGTCACCAGTGTGGGGGTCCAGGACTTCCCCTCGCCCTCCCATGGGGGATTGGGGGTGCTGCGCGGACAAGCGGCACAGCAGTGGAGTGTGACGTTTGCTTGCTTGCTTGTTTAATTGGGATTGGAGGGAGTTCTGCCTCTCTGTTTGGTTTTCGGTTGCAATTTTCTTAACATTTGAGGTCTGTTTTGTTATGCCCACCTTTCTGGGTGCTTAACCCCAGCATAGATAAGGAAAACCCCTCCAACCATGATGGGGGGGGGGGAGGGGAGGGTTCCAGGGCCATTGCTCCCTATGCCTGGTCTGAGGGGGGGGGCCAGGTTCTGGCTCGTAGTCCCCAGTAGGCTGAACTCCTTTGACTAATGCCCTCGTCTAATGAATTGCATATTAGCCTGATAGCTCCATGGAGCAGAAGAGGCTCCCCACAGAAAATGTGCCAAAAACAAATGGGACAGAGTAATGTCTGTTAGCCAGGAGGAGATCTGGACTTTTAAACACCAGTCAGGGAGGAGACCCAGAACAACCACAAACGAGGCACAAACAACTCAGTGAACGAGGACCCAGCCTTAAAGCAGGAGCTGAAGCAGATCCACTCGTACTGCAGCCAGAAAAAGACAAGGAGATACAAATCTGCAGGATCCACTGGAACCTGGATATGCACTTGTAAGGAAAGGAGGGGGAGGCAAAGAAAATAATTCCAGAACGCAACGTATTTGTAATCATAATATCCCTGATTACTTCTTCACTATTTGTGAAGATCAGGTCAAGAGTATTATTATCTATAGATGGCTTACTTATCTGTTGATCAACCACAAACTTTTTGCAGTCCTGTTAGCTCTCCAATATGTGCTTGATGAACTAGACGGTTTCCTGACAGTCTTTCTTTTACTGTATATTATTATTAAATATCACTTTCCTCATCAAATCTGTTGCCTCCTAAATACCCATCAGAACAGAAAAATGCCTCGGGAGTGACGAACTTTCAAAGACCACGCACCTGGGGGTACATCTATAGCTGATGTAACTTGCACCTCTGTGAAGCAGCAGAAATGTTGTAAAGGTAACCATGCAAATAGAATTAACACTTTCGCCCGGGCATGACGTAGCATTGCGTCATCCGTTTACTGGCGGTAATTCCGGGGATGACGCAGCATTGCGTCATCCACTTTAAATAATCTCCAAAAATCAGGTTTTAATCCAATTTTTTTGGGACTAGTTTTAAAATGCGCGCCGATGTCTTCCCATTTTCCTTGTTGAGCCTCGTGGCCCTCAGGCGGCTTGGCACATGCCGTGGGCCCATTGCTTTCGCTCCACTGTTGTGACCAATGTCGCCTCCCCTCGCATCTCAAACGTGTGAACATTTCGCCTATTTTCCGTGGCTATATTTCTTACTGCGGCTTTAGAAACTATCTACGCTTACTCCACGATGGATAGTGATCATGAACAAGGCCCTTCCAAGAAGAAAATTGCGAAAGAAAGACTTGAAAAGGGCGGGAATTGGGAGTGTAGGTGGAAGGCGGCTGAGCACTCACTCGCGGCTAACGCGTGGCCCGTCTTCAACTCGTCGGCGGTTGGAGCGTGACCAGGTTTTTTATTTGATATGCTAATGTTCCTCTAGAGAATTCTATTGCGAACCCATTGAGACCAAAATGAAAGACCTAGGATAAAAATTGAGGTGACCAGAGTGAAAATAGTGAAAACATTTTATCGCATTTGCGCGCTCCTGGGTAACTCGTTCGCACTTTCTCTGTTTGCTGCGGGTAATTAGCCGAGCTTTTGCAGTTTATATGCATTTAGTGCTGTAGAGAATTCTATTGCGAACACAATGATACCAAACTTAATCTCGTAGGACGAGAATTAAGGTGACAAAGTTGAAGAGAGTATACACTTTTCAGATTTTACGCGCACTCCCGTGACACCCTGGGTCCCATATCGCACAGTTGAGGGGTGGCGAGCGGGGTGCACCAAAGTGTTAAGAAGGAGAAATGTAGCCTCAATCTGCTTAGAGACTTGGAGATAATGAAATAAGGTTGCCACCAGACAAAGAGTGTGATCATTAATTTATTTATTTACTTATTTTTTGCATAGATATTCCCCAGGCCCTAAGCCTCTGGCTAGCATAGACAAACCAAGCCTCAACCAACATAAGTCCACTGCAATATGAAGAGATTTAAGTTTATGGCTAGAAAGCTAGGGTTAAGCTGAAAATATACAAACCAGAATGATCAAAACATACGTTAAAAGAAAAATTAATATCTAACCATTGACTTGTACTGTATCTCCTAACAATTAGTGAACATTACGAAAAAAGTAACTGTAGAGACCTTTCTCCATTTGGTCCGGGTGCGATGAGCCCATCCGCTGACCAATCTCTAGTAACTGATTACCCAAGAGTGTAGGATCATCACACAGAGTAAGCAGCTCTTGCCACTGTGCTTCCAGCTCATCCCAAAGCAACAGGCGATCTCTCTTGATTGTCCCTGACGTACCTGGTAGCAAGATTTCAAATCAATTAGGAAATTATAATGTGAAGCTGCCATTGTTTCACACTAACACATACCAGGCCCAACAGTAGCCATTGTTGTTTCACACTAACACATACCACACCCAACAGTAGCCACTGCTGCTTCACACTAACACATACCACACCCAACAGTAGCCATTACTGCTTCACACTAACACATACCAGGCCCAACAGTAGCCATTACTGCTTCACACTAACACATACCAGGCCCAACAGTAGCCATTACTGCTTCACACTAACACATACCAGGCCCAACAGTAACCATTACTGCTTCACACTAACACATACCAGGCCCAACAGTAGCCATTACTACTTCACACTAACACATTCCAGATGCAATAGTAGCCATTGCTGTTTCACACCAATATGAGGAGTTGGATTTTTGCCCACTTCTCAGCTAGCTTACATCTGTTAGGTAGTAGAAGGAATGGGGATGCCTTCAGCATTCCAAAGAAGTAACTCTTGTTGCCGTAAGTATTCTGTGTGAATAGTTATAGGTTTTCCCTGAATTCTGTAACTCTGGCCCCCTGGCAACAGGGAGAGAGAGAGAGGAGGTGAGGGGGTACCATTTCAAGTACCCACGGTTCCCCCTTTGCCGGTGATGTAATGTCATCAGCGTCTCCTGCCGGCTTTCCTCCAATTGGTAGCTGCACGAGGCCTCCGCTGATGCTCGAACCTGATTGGTCAAATTCCTGGCACCAGGAGAGCTGCGGCCCCAAGATTTCCTGCCTTAGGCGACATTCTGTGTTGAAGAGCTGTGCTGTCACGACGTGGGAAATCAAGTCCTGGCCAAGACCTTGGTTTTCCCATTTATATCAACCTCCAGCCAGCCTAAATCGACCCTACGCTGTTCCCCGTTGTAGTCACAGAATCCCGCTACGAAGGAACACCACTTGTGGTAAAGAAAAGGAAGATTATGAAGTCATAGCCGTTACATGTGCTACCCGCAGGTGCCACTTGACTGCTTCAAAGTGATCACAGATCATCGGCTTCACCTAGAGCAATCTGTCATTTCATTACTCCGTAACTGTGAGAAATAAGAATCAGGAAGCGATTCTGTGTGTTTGAGTGATGATCGTGTGTAAATCTTCGATATTGTAAATGTGGACTTAGATTATTTCCCGTCCTCGCCATTGTGTTCCCGGCGTCCCTCGTGGCACCCTATTCATACATATATAGATACATAATCTGTGCCAGCATGCTTACATTCAGCCTTCAGCAATATATCATGCTTGTGTTTAAACTGGTGTTTATACTGTACTGAGCGCGCACTCTCCCATTTTATTGGTGTGGGAGTTTAGCCATTCTCTCCTTTAGTGATGAGCGCGCGGCCACCTCATCTTGCCACCTTGAGGCTAGCCCCGCCTCACTGTCCAGCCTGACTGCCTCTTAGCGCAGTGTCCCACCTCAAACCTCCACCTCACTCCGTCATCCTTGGCTCGTGCTTCAATCAACAGCTGGGGCTAGTGTGATTGATTGCTTATGGGTGTGTCATACCGGTATAAATTAACGTGAGTACTCAAACATTATTTTCTCTGTATCTTCTGTTGTTGTGCAAATTCCTTGTGTTGAATTTAATTTAGCCGTCTGGTGTTCGCTCTCACTAGTTCCCCTATGGGACCGAGTTCGATTCCCCCAGGGAAGCATGATAGGTAAAGACTTGCTATAGCTTTTCTGTGTGAATACTGTAGCTAGATCTTCAGTGTGATTGTCAACTTACACATTCAGTTTTTACACATTTAGTTGTCATTGTGATGTGTGTATTTTACTGTGTCTACCATGGTTAGCGTGGTTTCAATATATACCATCACTGTGTGTTAACCCATGTCTATGCCGTTCTGTCTTTATTTCCAGAGGACATGCTGTAAGTCCAAGTAAGATTATTTTACTTTGTGTTTATTGATTTATTGACACGTGAGTGTGTCAGTGTGGTGTGTTGTGTTTTACTATGTTATGTGGTCTCTGTGACCGGGTGTACTTTGGTTTAGTGTATTGTTGTTGGTCTCAGTGACCCTTATTGGTGTGTACAATATTATCATTACCATGTTGTGTTGACTCAGTGTCGTCAGTATACTTGCGTTCTATAAATCTCAAGACGTCAGTGTAACTTTGTGTTCAGTATCTTAAAGTCAGTTAACTTCATGTTCATTAACTTGAGATATCAGTATACTCAGTGTTCAGTTAAACTTGTGTTCAGTATCTTGAGACGTCAGTGTAACTTCGTGTTCCATATCATTTGAGATATCCGTGTGTTAATTGTTTTGTACTTGATACGTCATTGTATTCATTAAAGTGATTGATTATCAATTGATTTAATACGTGGTGATCAGTAATCGTATTGACTGATCGCTGTTAGTCAAGCAGTCTTAGTGACGCCGAGCTTTAACGTAAATTCTTCGTGAATTAAGTGAGCTGTCAGGCTTTGACAGATCTTGGTACGATTACTCAGGGATTGCTAATTACCCGTAGCCACTGTTGATTTCACTGACATTTGTTTTGATTGCATGTCTTGGTGACATAATAATGTAAATATATTTACTGAGTAAAGTAACGTAATCAATTGAGTGTTGCACGGAAGACTCGTCTCAGTGACAAGTCTGTCAGTTGTTGTTATTCAGTCATCAATCGCCCCACGCTGGTTACGGATCTCACATTTGGCACCAATATGGGCCGTGCATTGTTGCATCTATAATCACCCCTCATTGATCCCAGATTCACATCTGGCACCAACGTGGCCCATTGTCTTTCATTGTATGTTATTGCTACTTGCCACAGTCACGTCAAGCTGCCATTGCGTCTGGAGTGGTTGTCCACTATTGTTAAGTGTAGACAGGGTCAGCATTACTGCGAGCAGTCCGAACCGGAAGCAAATGTTCTGGCTAGTTTAGCCTTGTCAAGCACCACGTCCGACATTAACGTAACGTCAGATTGTTCTTGCCATGTACCGTTAGTATTAAGTTTTATGAATAAGCTAATTGTTAAGTACAAGTGTCTTTACGTTCACACCTTCAGACCCATTGTACCCAGTATTGACTTTGCCATTATTTGTAATTTTTAACATGATCCTTTTTACATTGCCTGGATTACTTGGATTTGAACTGCATTCATGGCCACACACATCAAATATAAATACTAATTTGTTGTGAGGACCGTTTGAGCTACTCTGACGACCTCCTTCTGAGGTCCCAGAAGCTCCACGACCTAGTGGATAGGGAGTGCCAAGGATTTGGACTCCTGCAGCTGCTCTATGCATCCCTGGTCAGTCATTAAAGTATAATCTGCCCTCAGCATATGTTTGATGCTAGTTCAGTACTTTCCTGACTGAGGTTTCTTGTAACCTATTCACCTCTAAAAAGGGATAATCTCACAACCAACACATACCAAACCCAACAGTAGCCACTATTGCTTCACACTAACACATACCAGGCCCAGCAGTAATAGTAGCCACTGCTTCTTCACACAAAAAATTCAAAACAGCACTTTGAGGCACAGGAAAAGCATGAATTAATTCACGAGCCAGCTGGACAACCCCACTTCGTCTTAAACGCAGTACCATAGATACAAGCTGTAAAGAAATGTAGAAATTTTAATCACAATTATTGACAACTTCTGTGCTTCACAATTTTAACCATACATGTACAGTAAAATTGTTTAAATGGCATCTACTTTTGAATGGGATGAACAGCCTCACATAATATCTCTCTAATGTATGAATTTTTGGAGAGAAACAGAATGACATAATATGTATGAGGATCAGAGAAAAATGTTTCAGAATAGCTTATCCTGTATTTACAATGAGCAGAACAGGAAAAATGCTGGGTTACCTTGACGGTGAGGTTACCTTGAGGTGCTTCCGGGGCTTAGCGTCCCCGCGGCCCGGTCGTCGACCAGGCCTCCTGGTTGCCGGACTGATCAACCAGGCTGTTGGACGCGGCTGCTCGCAGCCTGACATATGAGTCACAGCCTGGTTAATCAGGTATCCTTTGGAGGTGCTTATCCAGTTCTCTCTTGAACACTTTGAGGGGATTGCCAGTTATGCCCCTTATGTGTAGCGGAAAAGCGTGTTGAACAGTCTCGGGCCTCTGATGTTGATAGAGTTCTCTCTCAGAGTACCTGTTGCACCTCTGCTTTTCAACGGGGGTATTCTGCACATCCTGCCATGTCTTCTGGTCTCATGTGATGTTATTTCTGTGTGCAGGTTTGGGACCAGCCCCTCTAATATTTTCCATGTGTAAATTATTATGTATCTCTCCCGCCTGTGCTCAAGGGAGTACAGATTTAGGCTCTTTAGTCGGTCCCAATAGTTTAGATGTTTTACTGAGTGGATTCTAGCAGTAAAGGATCTCTGCACGCTCTCCAGGTCAGCAATTTCTCCAGCTTTGAAAGGGGCTGTCATTGTGCAGCAGTACTCCACTCTAGAGAGCACAAGCATTTTGAAAAGTATCATCATCGGTATAGCATCTCTAGTGTGAAAAGCTTGTGTTGGCTTGTTATCCAACCTGTCATTTTTCTTGCAGTTGTGACGGCTACTTTATTGTGTTCTTTAAAGGTAAGGTCTTCTGACATGAGTACACCCAGATCCTTTACATTGCCTTTTTGTTCTATGTTATGATTTGCCTGAGTTTTGTACGTGGTTTCCGTTTTTATATTTTCATTTTTTCCATAGCGCATGAGCTGGAACTTATCTTCGTTAAACACCATATTATTTTCTGTAGCCCATAGAAAGACCTGATCTACATCTGACTGGAGGTTTGCCGTGTCCTCTATGTTGCCTACTCTATAATGCACTATAAATCTTTATAAACCAATGCCACAAATTCCATTACAATACTGTATTATTATAATGATCATTTTTACGCTATTTTCCATTTTAATTCATTGGCTATGTATTTTTTTTTTCCAGTTGGTTCCCATGAAATCTAGTTTTGGGGCTCTAAATGTTTTTTTCTGAGCCTAAGCTACTCAGTTGCTCCTCTTTGGAAGCTGTGCAGTCTCCAGGGCCTTCGTACCTTAGCCAGAATGACCTTCACATTTACTGTTCCAGGATGACTCTTTGTGAGAACTCCTGCTCATCCAAAGACAAACAACCCACCTATATCAAACAACGAGTTGACCATCTGGTTGACAGACGGGTAAATAAACCCCAGTCGATGATCATACCTTAATTTATCATGGATGTCCACTGGGTAGGCTTAACTAGCTAGAGGAGCATGATATAGGGTTAAGTGGAAATAGATACATCCTGGGAGCTCTGTCTATTGTGAAGAAGGCTAAACCTTGCTGTATGGATAGCTGGCAAGACTCAGCAACATTGAGGTATACAGTACTGGTGGAGTGAATACAGTGTTTTCACTCTGTTGGAAGTTAGCTTTAACAGGTGTGGGGTCAATCCTGGAGTCAGTCACAAAAGTAAACACCACAGAAGGGCAAATTTTCAAAAATATGAAATCCTTTGTGAAAATCTAGAACATGTCCCAGGATAGCCGCCCTGCAGCACAATCTAGGTGTAACCACAAAGGTAAAGGGAGGTAAAGGCTCTATTCCACAGTAACACAGTGTGGCCAGCTACATCTATTAGGGCTACAAGATTAGGTGTAAGCACAGCTGATGTAATTACTCTAAATGCTGTAATTGAACATAAACAGGTGTAGGCTCATTTATGAGGCAAGTCACAAGAGTTACTACGTATATCGCAGGAGAACAAGCTTCATAATAACGTGTAATCCTTGGTGACATCCCGAGAACAGGTAATTGGAGCTCTTCCTATGATCACAGCCTGAAGAAGAGACCTGGTGAAAAGGCTTATATTCTCAAGATATTCATACTTATTTGTCCATCCACTAGTCTCAAGAATTGGCAAGGGTATTTCTGTGACCAAAATAAGACAAAATCCACCGATGAATGTAACAAAGTGCCTCTTTCTAGTGGGACCATCTGTGGCTTCCCGAGTTACCCTCCTAGTGGGATCCTTGGTGGCTGCCAGAGTTACCCACCTAGTGGGTTCCTTGGTGGCTGCCAGAGTTACCCACCTAGTGGGTTCCTTGGTGGCTGCCAGAGTTACCCACCTAGTGGGTTCCTTGGTGGCTGCCAGAGTTACCCACCTAGTGGGTTCCTTGGTGGCTGCCAGAGTTACCCACCTAGTGGGTTCCTTGGTGGCTGCCAGAGTTACCTGCCTAGTGGGTTCCTTGGTGGCTGCCAGAGTTACCTGCCTAGTGGGTTCCTTGGTGGCTGCCAGAGTTACCTGCCTAGTGGGTTCCTTGGTGGCTTCCTGAGCTGGATCCCTAGTTTGAAGGAACCCTAATGGGTTCCTTCAAACTGCATCAACAATCGACTTGTTTATGTCAGTGTTACTAATTTTTAGCTATAACTTGTTTTGGTTAGGCTCCATTTAGATTATGCAGTTCAGTTTTGGTCGCCGTACTATAGAATGGATATAAATTCTCTAGAACACATCTAGCATTGGATGATAAAGTTAATCCCATAAATTAGAAACCTGTCATATGAAGAAAGATTGACAAAGCTTAAATTACATTCTCTAGAAAGGCGAAGAATTAGGGGTGACATGATAGAGGGTGTTCAAGTGGATGAATGGACATAACAAAGGGGGATATTATTAGGGCACTAAAAGTATCAACACAAGACAGAACATGAAACAATGGGTATAAATTTAATAAGTTTAGATTTAGGGAAAGACTTTGGTAAATACTGGTTCGGTAACAGGGTTGTTGATTTGTGGAACTAATTACCACGTAACGTGGTGGAGGTGGGGTCTCTTGATTGTTTTGAAGCATTCGTTGGACATGTATAGGAGTGGGATTGGGTGGTTATAAATAGGAGCTGCCTCATATGGGCCAATAGGCCTTCTGCAGTTACCTTTATTCTTATGTTCTTAATTTCTAACAAGCAATCCTTTTATGCCTAACCTGTTTGATTGGCTTTCTCAGTATTAGATAGATATTTGACTCCCAAGCTCCCATTGCCTCAGAGAGAAAGCCAGATTCTGGTCCTGGCGTCTCGTCGGCAAAGACAGGTCTCAAGAGGCGTGGTGTAATTAGGCAAGGTTCTGCAGTACCAGTATCTAAACTCAGAGAGTGACTGATTGTCCCTCCCAGAAACACTCACTGTTATAGATTAGGATGTGAGTTATGTCTGAAGTACTAATAAAAGAATATACATGTTGCACTCTGCACTCACTGTTATAGGATTAGAATGATGGACAAGATAAAGATACGACAGATCCAAAGAAGCTGCAACTTTGTAGAGAATAATAATTCGCTCAGCAGTTTTCTTGCCCATTGTCAGTTCTGTAAATCAAAATACTGTATATCAATAAATTATAAAAACAAATGAACATAAATAGGGCAAATTAAAGTATCAAAAGAATTATACAAATTGATATATTTAGGATAATGATAAATTTAAATGAAAAAAAACATGTATGAAATATATATATAGAAGGAACTATAAAGGCACCAGCTGCATATCCACTTTGCGGACACTTCTTACTACTTTTCTTCTTCTTTGTGTGTGGGACAGGTGCTTGCATCTCTTTATTATTGCATTATTCATCAGTTCCAGTTAATAGAAGCTGTTCTCTTTATCAACAAAACGTTTTTTTTTTTAAATATTCGTCTAAAATCAATTTCTAAAAAATATTTTGATGAAAGTTTCACAAAGTTGAAGCCAATAAGTTGAAGATTTGTTTAACATTTTTAAGTAATTTTTACATAATTCAAATATTTTTTGAATTATACCCCCTTCAATGTCACACATCATATACGTTTTGCACAGTTTAAGGGTTAATAGCAGCACAAAGTACATTACCTGAGGCAACTTTGACCATGGCTGAAGTTTGCACGCCAAGTTCTTTCTCAAGTGATATCGTATTGAAGCTCCTACTAATGGTACTTCTACCTGAAAAATGAAATGCATGATATGATTGAAAAGCAAAGGCATGCTCCATCTCCCCCCCCCCCTCTTTCATTATATATACAGTATATATATATATAGATATAATAATCTATTCAGTAATGTCTCAACGCAACATATATAACATACGTTTGTGCTCCTGTGTTGTTGCATTTTGAACTATTGATGTTCTGCTTAACACCCCTTTAACAGCCTCCTCACCTTCCAATCTTAGCACCTTGCTGCCGTCAGCCATTCCAAGCAACAGCAACAGCGATTGTACATTCTGAAATCATACAGCGTACAAACTAAATTAGGTAAGGTTATATTAGGTTAATTTTTCAGGTAGTTTTTCAGGTTAACACTTTTAGTAAGTATTACATCAATAGAAACAATTTAAATCAGTAATTTATTCAAGCATTAAAGAGCATCAATTAAAAAGGCAGATTCTTAAAAGATTATGATATTATCATTCATTTGATAACAGTTTTATAATTAGTAAACAACTTCACATCAATCACTGTCAAACAGTAGTTCATCCTGTCAACAAGTGGAGAGCAACTCATTACTGTATTACTGTAACGAGTATAACATTCATTAAAACATGAATAAATTGTTTACTCATGTTAGATTCTTTTGTAAAACAGCTTTGAGGAGATCAGATACTAAATTTTCCACTTAAATAATTTTCAAAAACATGCAGATTCGTATTAAGCACTCAGCGATTCAGTAGCAAATATATATCAGTGACTATGGAGGATGAGCATCTTAAGTGCTAGTTTCAACCTAAACATCAGGAACCCAAACCAATTTTAAAATGCTGGATGGATGAGAACATGCCAATTACCATCAATAAAAATTTAAGGAAATGAGCCAAGAACCATGCAAGAGCACCTGGCAAACCTGGAACAATGAAGTTGGTCAAGGAATCAAGCTACCTGTTGAGATCTGATAAGTCGAGAATAAAGCAAGGACCTGGTATATATTACATGGGAATGGGGGGAACAGATGAGTCACCTGCTGCAAGGACTATGTCACCTTCATCACCCCCACTAGTCCAGCAAAATGTGAATGATTTAGCAGCAGAGCGGAGCAGATGGCAGAGAAGGACCCTAAGACACCAAAGATAGGGAGGACTACACCCACCAATGACCATGAGATACAACATGATATTCCCAAACATCTTGGATCCAAGCATGCCAAAAGGTGCTCAGATGTCCCCCCCACCCCACTCCATCACCAGGCATATCATAAAGGGGCTTGTGTAGGGAAACCTACCGATTGCCAGACTGGGGCAAGCACTGAAAATGCTCTTGCTGGGATGCAGGGATGTGATCTGGATGGAGCTTCACAGGCCTGGGGAAAATTGTGCCCCAGAACTTCAACCCCATTATTTCCAAGATTTGTTTCCCACAGTTAATATTAAAGATTGGAAAACCACTTATGCAGAGAAAACAATCCGAAGGAAAACTCACAAAATAAAATCTAATTTAATGGGCCACTGTGAAACCAGGCTGTGACTCATACGTCAGGCTGCGAGCAGCCGCGTCCAACAGCCTGGTTGATCAGTCCGGCAACCAGGAGGCCTGGTCGACGACCGGGCCGCGGGGACGCTAAGCCCTGGAAGCACCTCAAGGTAACCTCAAGGTAGGCCACTGAGAACTAGCAAGGTGAAATGCACATGCCAAGACTAAGAGTAAAAGTATCTAGTTCACCCGACTGTTTTGGTGAAAGTGGTGACACCTGATGCCCCAGGTGAAGCCCCTCCCCTACTCGACCACTTCCAGGAACTAAAACGAAACCCACATGAATAACAAGTAACAAATACCCATTTGTAACCAATGGGTAAGGGAGTCAAGAGACCTATATTTAATGACACCATATGGGGAATGCAATTACAAGAAACAATAAAAGGAAAAGTCATGGGAGTAAACATTATCCCAACACTAATACCAGAAGCCAATGTGTAGAGGATAATATCACTGGCATAGGGAAGGTTAGCAGACAAGACAATGTCATTTAAGAATATAAACAAGGAGACTTTCGAGTTCATACACAATGCCTAAGTGAAACCATTACCTGAGTACGTAGCTCCAGCATAGAACCCATACTTTTTGAAGAATAAACAAATTTGAGAAAGTTCAGAGGTTAGCAACTAGATTATTACCTTAATTAAGAGGCCTCAGCTATTAGGACAGGTTGAGAGAACTCACCCACACAACCTTATAGGAGACAAGAAACAGGGGGGGGGAGATATGATAACTACATACAAGATATTGAGGGGAATAGATAAAGCAGATAAAAGAAGCTTATTTAAATTAGAAAGAGGTGGAACAAGGGGGACATGCGTAGAGGCTAGACATGCAACTAGGTGGAAGAGATGCAAGGAAGTTCTCATTCCCTGTACAGGTGGAATGCATTGAAGGATGAGTTTATTGTAAGAGATTCCTTCCACTACTTTAAAAAGAAATATACAGTAACGAAAATGTTAATGTTGAGAGGGGTATTTAGAACACTAGGCATGATGGCTAGGAGTCAGGGCATAAAGAACTATACAGTACTTCCCCCTGTAATCACTGATCGGTAAGCACATCAGGTCTTTTGAAACGGTGGATTGTCATTGTGGATGACTGATAGTGTACACATGTGCACTTGTTTATCCATGATTCAATATAGTGTGAATGAAATAATAAATAGATAAGTAACATTTTAAAATTTTAAAATCTATTTCTTCTTTCACTACACCATATTACTCACCTTTTTTCTCTGAGCCTATGCTTCCTCGTGCCATGAAGTGAGAAATAGAGTAATGACACATATTTATGTATATTATGCATTTAAATAAATACTGTAGTGCCAAACCTTGTTGGTTACTTTTAGAAGCCTAAGTATCCGACACGCAGTAACAAGCATCTCCTTGTTTACACAAAGGTTCACCAAGAACTGAATGGTTTGCCATTTAGCTTGATCCTTTTGACCATCTTGCCTAGTTTCTTGCTTTTTCTCTTCATGTTCCATTCTGTCTTTGCTTGGTTCTACCATGTGTGCTGCTTCTCGACCCATCATCACTTTCTGAGGTCCCCTCAAACATGCTTCTTTATACTCTATATTCACCGTGTCTAGTTCACTACCACTTGCTTTTTCATCCACCATCCTTTCATCTTCTTCTTCATCATGAGAAGTTAGTTTAGTGTGCATTTTCTCTTTATTTTGTTCAACACTTAACTGGTCACACTGAATCTCATTGTTTTGTTCTGTGTAAAAAGATGGTTCACACTGCACCATCTCAGAGTGAGCCACCTCTTCAGTCTTTCTTTCAGTATGTAAATTCTGGCCAAAGTTACCGAATTGGTTCATTTCATCATTCAAAAATTGATCTTTGTGGCTTGTTTCTTTATCCTCTATATTATGATTTGAAGATAAACTGTATATTTCAACATGAGATTTTGTTAAAAAAGGATGTGCAAGACCAGCTGACTTCATTATAAGACCCAAGTCCAGTGGACTTGTCCCATCTTCCCCTTCCCATGGCCAGTTGCCCAGAGAACTTGGTGGTGTAATTGTAAGGCTACAAAATCCTTCCTCTTTGCAATGAAAAGCTTTAACACATGCTTGCCACATTTCATATTCAAGCTTTGATAAAACTGCAATTGAAGATTCTGCAGTCTGTAATTCCCAAGATATATTCGTGCTGTTATCAAATGATTTAAGGCGGTTGAAAGCAGTATTTTCATGGGTTTTGTAAGACCACATCAAGGCATGCTGCAGGCAGAGATACTTTATGGTAGCTGATGGAAGCTCTTTACTTATGGCTATAAAAAATGCTGCTGCATGTTTTGGAGGCACAGATTCTTGGTGTAGTTTATTTTGGCTTCTGCACATAAATTCTTTAAATGACAAAAAATCTTTGATGATATTTGATGTATTCTTGTCAAACTCTGCTCTTAGCTGCGCACAAACAATAGTAAATACAGGAAGACCCGTTAACTGACACATGTGAAGGGCTTCGGTAAAGCACCTTTCATGGCATAAACTTGTCACTATCCTCTCGGTTATTTCATTTACTTCTCCAGTTTCAAAACTCCAAAGTAGTTCTTTGAAAATTACTTGATGCTTAACTACTCCTAATATTTTGCAGATCTGGCTTACCAAACTCCAGTTTACAGAATGGCTGCAAAATGGAGGCAGTTGACTGACAGTCGTGAGAACAGAAAGTAGTTGATATTGCAAATGGCTATTCACAATGAAGGTATCAAGTGCCGTACCAATAACATCAAGAGTTGTCGCCATGATCCACTCTCTCTTGACACTTGATATATCTTGTGCTATCTGTGAATCATTTACAGCAGAAGCAGAGGCAGAGAGCAATTCAGCTATTTTTTCTTTATTACACATTTCCTTCACTTCTTTGATAGCTGTAAGAAGAGGAAGAAGGGGTGAATGTGGATCAAATACCTTAAGACCTTCAATGGGAACATCAAGCGATCCTTCTGAAACATGAGACAGAAGAAACCATTTTTGTTCTTCAAGTCTACACTGCAACACGCAGACATCACAAGCTCGGCAGCAATTTCTCCTTGGAGGATAAACTCTCTTATTCTCTATATTTTCAATGTTGGCTGCTTGGTGAACTTGAGTTGCTGCTAGTTGGTGGTGCAAAGTGTGTTGGGCACTCTGTGAGAGCTGTGTGTATAGCCACACAGACAGGCAGAGAGATGGGTTGTGCTTCTCATAACAAGCAGAAAATACAGCTAATACTGGAGTGCTTAATGCTACCGCCGCTGTCACTAACTCATTTGCAGGATTTTCCCTCTGATGACACGTTAATAATATAGAATACAGATCTTTAGGCATATATGATAACCAGGCATCAACTCCTACATCAAAAGAGGTTTCTGCTGTAGTACACGATAGAGCATCATCAATAATGGACATTTCACCATCACTTGGACTAGAGCTACATTGCTTTTCATCACCACTCTGCACTGGAGACTGTGAACCCTCTCTACTGTGAATTCCAATTTTTGAATACAAGGTTGATCTTTTACTATGTTCTGCTTTTGTTCTGTCTCTTGATTGATGGGATTCACGATAGTAGTACATATGAGTAAGGGCAAACATCATGTGTTCTTTTAATGCTGTACTTTGGAAAGACTCTGCCACTTTTAACACTTCATTCTTTGGGCAATTAAATACCTGTACTATGACAAGGAAGAGCAACCACTGGTTTGACTCTACCAATTTGGTCAGAAGCTTTACTGGCCATGGGAGGCCATAGAGCAAACACAGTTCAACGCACAATCTCATACCTTCCATTAAAATATGCATGTGTTTCTGGGGAATTTCCTGTGAGAAAATGTTGCCCATCATATCCACGACTGTGTTCAGTGGAAGTGACAACTCAAATAGTTCCCCTGGGCCAACTGTTCCACGTATATTTACTACATTATTTGTAACAGACAAAATTACACAATTTTCAAGCATTTCCAATAAAGCTGCTGCAGCCTCAGATCTAGTTTCTATTATGCAAACTTGCTGAAGAATACTTCTGATTTCCATTTCAATGAGTGTCTCGTGTCCCTTTCGCTTCTCTGATGTTAGCTTTACACACCAAGCAATTCGTACATCGTAGATCTGTGGAAAAACGTGTAAATAAAACTACAAAACTATACCTTATGCTATATATGAATATTTATGGAATAGACAATATGTAACATACACATCATAATGCACATTTCAGTCATAATTACCATACATTAAATAAATGGTACTGTCCAAATAAATATAAACAAAGACTATCAGTATATTTTCATATACAGTACTGTATTTTAAAATAATCATTATAAAAATAAAAAAAACTGTAGTGTGAAAAACGTACGAAGAATGCAGCCGTTAAGACTATCCGGAGAGGGTCGGCCTCAAGGTTAGTCATGAGGAGTACAGAAATGCACGCACAACACACAGCACGGTTAGGCCAGCTACTGAGAGCAAATCCATACACTTTATTCTTCACTTCGTCAATCCTATGTAGCAAAGAACAAAACAAATTAAATGAGAAAAAAAGGCCTTGTTGTTTAAGTAAGTTTGTAATGCTTTAAATTTTCCTTATCATAAAATTTAATTATTTAAGCCTTAGACTACAGAATAAAATGTAATTTTACACTTAGGGAGATGTCTTTCCATATGCACATATTTTGAAGTTATAGCAATCGCAGATGTGTATACCTGTTGATTTCAAAAATTCATAAACAGAACAAAATTTAGCTCACTGCCACTCAATGCTTATAGGCATAGTTAGCAAAGTACAGTATGTCTGACTACTGAAAAAGTCTTATAAGCATTATTAGCATCCTAAGGGTCAAGATGAGATTCTTCTCACACTAAACCACGAATACTTTTATTGTTCTCAAACAAAGCCCGCAAAGAAAGTTTTATTAATAGTGGCAACAGCTCTTTTGAAATGACTTTTGAAGTAACCTCACTGCTACAGCCACCATGAGTCCAAGCACCTGGCTCAGACAACACAACCTTTTACACCTGTATAACCAAAGCCAAAATTTAAATTAACCACAACACACTGTAATAAAATATGTGAATTAGAGTGAAAAAATGAAAATTTTAATTCCTAAATGAATGTTTTACTGAATATTGATATACTGTACTAGTACTGTGTAAATATAGTCTACCAGTACTGTATTCAACAACAAAATTCAAGAGTTAGCAGGGAAGTATGGTCAAACGGGACAGAAGACAGTTTTACAAAGCTTGCCAAAACAGTATATATCATTAGTCCCAGTGGTGCATTGGTAAGACACTCGCCCGGCGCTTCACTAGTGATTTGGCCTGGGTTCGTATCCTGACCGGAGAGGATTGACTGGGTGCCAATCCTTAACTGTATGCCTCTGCTCACCAAGTAGTGAATGGGTACCCTGGTTGTTAAAGAATTTGGTGGGTCGTATTCCAGGAAAAATTAAGATTAAGGACCTGCCCAAAATGCTATGCGTGCTAGTGGCTTTACAAGAATGTCTATATAAATAAAATAAAATTAGATTAGGTTGTGTTAGGTTGGGTTGGGTTAGGTTAGGTTGATTTGGATTATGTAAAGTAAGGTAAGGTCACATAGGGTTAGGTTGCGTAGGTTTTATATTCTGTTGGAGAATCCTCTTGAGGATGATATGCTTTGCATCCTTTGCAGAACAGGTACTACATAACACAATAAAAAAAATCTAAAAAAATCTAACACAATCTAAAAACAAAGCACTACATTGCAAACACATTATATTTCTTAAGTATTCACTAAGTATTAAGCTAAGATGGCTTGGATAGGCTTGTTTTCCATGTGGCAATAAGACTTCCCTATTAATGTCATTGGACATGCATAACTGGATGTCCATAATGTTAATGGGGAAGGACAATCAGATATTTCTATGTCCAGATAACCTGAGAATCTAGAAAACAAATTTAGATATTGGGATTCCATAATATTTCTACCAAACAAAAATGGCTGAACTATTATTTTCATGTGTTACACCTGCTCTAAATAACACCTACAAGATATGCTAATGTTTACTAAAATTGTATAATTATCAGAACAATGTTCATCAGTCCTGCATCTACTACTACTACCGCTGCTGCTAATACTGGCAAGATCATCAAGGTAAATGGGGAGGACCTTCGACAAGCTACCGGCTTCCTGTCCTCGTCAAGGCCACTAGGGTGAGTGGCCCTCGGGTAAATCAGGTACTACTGCTACTACAATTGCTGCTGCTGCTGTTACTGGTATACAGTATAAACTAAAGGAAGGAGAGAATGGTTACCTTTTTTTGTTTCTGTTGACACAAACACTTGCAAGAATTGCTGCACATGCGTAGGTGGGTCGACATTCTCTTAGGTAGTACAAGTATTCCAAAGAATGCAGAATACCATGTTTCTTCACCAACTCTTCATTGGTAAAGCTAACAATTTCAGCATTCACATCATAACCATACCTGCCAAATATTACAAATACTGTAGTTCCATGTGGTATACGATGACAATACCACACAACTGATAATTTACTACAGTACCCATTGGTAAAATACATTTAACCGTTACTTATATAAATATTAACAGCATAGGATAAGTAATTTTTTTTTTTTATGTAACAATCTTGTAGTCCCACCAATTATAATTTACTGTTATTAATTATTTCTTCTTAAAAAAAAAATGTATGAATTTTCCACACTACTGTACTAGTACCAGAGGACTACATGCTTCCGGATGCCTTGGGATCTAGATTGAATGAATAACTGGTTGTGTCCAGATAAGTTGCAAGTCATCTAGAAAATCTAAGGGGGGAAAATCAACAATTTGTTGGGGAATATTCGCCATTATTTTATGTTGTATAAATGAATGAAAAGTTCTGGATGTCGGTGTGAGCATCAGTGTGTGGGGTGTTTGGAGTGGGTGTTGGAAGTGGGTGTCTAGAGAGGGTGTTGGAAATACAGTAGGTAGGTGTGTAGGTGGTTCATTCACACCTAATGAAACTTGGAAGGAAACAACAAACAATAGAATGGATATATGGCTGCTGGACAGTAAACTTTATTCCAAACAGATGAAAAAGGTGTAAAGAGCTCCAGAAAATAACGAATCTATCATTTAACATGACTCTCGAGTAACATCCCGGCAAGCAGTGCAGTATTTCAACTCTCACTTGTGATGGAACAACAGCATTACCACACATTACACATTACTTGGGACAGGGCCAACTCAAAATATCAGCCCAAGTGAAGAACACAAAATTCTCAGAGAAGATACCTCTAGTGTTAAATAGTTTTTGATATCAACACATACAGTATACCAGGAATTTTAACCTGAGGTAGAAGTCAAAGCTAGCTATGCACCTGGTTGATGGGGTTCTGGGAGTTGTTCTACTCCGCAAGCCCGGCCTGAGGCCAGGCTTGAGTGCTTTAGGCCAGGCTTTAAGGAAGTGCACTTGAATAACTAGCACACATATTCATCTAATCTTTCAATAGTAAAAAGGCACCTTTCACATGGATACTTAAGTCCAATGGTAATCTAGAAAACTTATCTGTGATAAGAAAATAAGAACCATTGGCAAGTATCATAGCATGCAATGCCAAAGAGTAAAGGGACCACCTCACCAGTTACCTGGTTTGCCTGAGCTGCCACCTTGTGGTGGTGGTGGTGGTGGTGGTGGTTGTGGTGGAGAGAAGGTTTTAAGTATCTTGTTTAGTGGTTTTCAAGTTTTGTTTGGCAATGTCAGTGCTGCCAAAAAATTTGGAGGGAGGAAGAGTATTTTGTGACTGTGTTATAAATGTTAAAGGATGGTTCACTTCAATAGTGAGTGGATCTTAAATCCCAATGTTTTTTCCCTGTCCCACAGAGAGGGCAAGTTGTCAATTTTTTTTTAAGGAGTTTGTACCCTGTGTAATGTGTAATGACTGGGTTCATATGGAGACCTGCAATTGCATCTTGCACTTGCAATAGCCCCACATTGAGTTACCCAAGGAGCAGATCAAGTTGAAATCAGTTGAATGCTCATGTCATTCCCTACCCATGGATAACAGACATGACTGTCCCAAATGCATAATAAAGCAGTTGTAACAATTATATTAAGAGTACAGTAATATAGTTGCTCCAAAGTTTTCAAAAGTCCATTGCAGGTAATTAGATGTGCCTGTTAATTCTATATAACTTATCCCTAAGATTTCAACATTCCAAGCAGTTCTATGACAAACACTCTCCAATAATCTTTTGTGCACTAATTACAATTGATACTTGTTCCCAAGGTTTCCAGGAAACATTTAGGACAGCCAAAAGTAACCAACAAGATGCTTAACCTGCCAGATACACTCTGTCCAACACGTGGTCAGGTGAAGTATGGAATATAAGCAGCCACGAACGTGGAATCAGCAGTCTAACTCCAATAGTGGTCCAGAGACAAATGCTCTGGATATACTGCGGATCTTCTCCAACACTATCGACAATCACCAGCAACAATACTGTATAACACTCGATGAGTCTAGTTCTAATTATCTCACAAGATGCTGTAGCCTTGCTACAGAGCAGACAGCAATTCCGGCTATACTCAAGCTATCCGCTCTTGTCCCGCATTCGAGCTAACCCCCCTCTTGTCCCGCATTCGAGCTACCCGCTCTTGTCCCGCATTCAAGCTAACCCCCCTCTTGTCCCGCATTCGAGCTACCCGCTCTTGTCCCGCATTCGAGCTAACCCCCCTCTTGCCCCACATTAGAGCTACCCGCTCTTGTCCCGCATTCAAGCTCACCAAGCCCGCTCACATTCAAGCTCTATGCTCTTGCCCTTTGAGCTCTCTACCCCCAGCCTAATTCAAGCTCTTTGCTTTTGGCTCCAGGCCTCGCACAAGTATCCTTGTCTCAACTATCATGATATGTCATTTCATTTCCAACATTTGACTGCTGGAAATGAAAGGAGTCTTGTCACTCAAACTACAAACATTGCACAGTTAAGGACTGTGCACATGTAGTGCACCCTGAGAAGAAATCCACTCAGTTGCTCCTGAGGTGCACAACCTTTGCACTTAAGGCAATGTCAAATTTGATATAGAGAAGGGAGAGAGAATATATTCTCACACCTGGTGTGTGTGGAGAGATGTCATGGGAACCTTGAGTGCATTGTATATGAGTGAATTTTATGCTATTAATTTGGAAGGGAAACACAGTTTTAATAAGTTAATTAGACAATAATCAATAAGCTTGTGAAGCAAAATCAATGAGTGAACATAAGGACAATTAATTAAAGTAATACTACATAAAAATATTAAATTTATAGCAAGACTGAAAATTTATATAAAAATTAATAAAATAACATACCTGTTATGTTTTTGAAATGCAAACATTCTGCTGAGGTCAAAGGAAACAGTACCCGAGAGGAGGTCATACATGGTAACGTCTATTGATGTACCACTTTGTGGCTCTGCAAACATCTTCTGAAGATAAGGGAAATTCTGTACAACACCCTTGGCTACTTGCTTTGGTGTTAGATTATGCTTATCAAGGATCATGCAAAATGAATGTATCTCATTTGCTTCAACATTAGGTTCACTGTTTATATCAAAATTAATAAAATCTTGTAATTTTTGTGTAGGAGCAAACAGCATGGTGAGAAAAGCTGGAAACTGAAGCTCCTGAGGATTTTTACAATTGTCACTCAAGGATGCAAGATTTTTTAAACATAGATCATAAATAACTTCCTTAGATTTTGTCTTGAGAAGCTTCATAAAGGGAACAATAGTACTTGCCCAAGAGGGCAGCCTTAGTTTTTCCATAGCCTTGCCATCAGAGGCATCTAAGGAGAAGTCTTTAACATGATCATAAGCTGGTAACAGAAGATCATGGGCACCAAAGAACTCCATGAGTACTGTATGTATGTCACTGTCTGAGATCTGGCAGGAATGATTACCCATGAAATCGGCTACCATTTCTAGAGCTCCAGACACAAGCAGCCTTTTCAAGAGTAGCTCAGCTCTATTTTTTTCACTGGTCATGAAGACTCTACATCTGGCTAAAACATTCAGCACCAATTCCACAAATGGCTCTTTGGCATCTGCAACCAGATCTATCATAGTTTGTGTTATAGGTTTAAAAAGTTGTGTTGACCATACCGTATCCCTGCGATCATGAGCCTCAAAGCTCTGCACACTCCAGGAATCTTCATCACCAGCGCCTAAAGATGAAGACTCAATTGAATCATGAGATTTAACAGAAGACTCCACATCACTGGCATACAGTGGTCCACTCAGCATAGTGAGACCTGAGTATTTTGAATCTGAAATATTCTCATATTTCTCATTTTTATCAGATGCTCTATTTTCTGGAACAGAAGACCTTGCTTGCAGACTTTTTGGTAACCTAACATTGAGATTGTCTGTGTGTGCATGTGTGTGCGCGTGTGTGCATGTGTGTGCGGCCGTGTGTGTGTGTGTGTGCATGCGTGCGTGTGTACTCACTTAGTTGTGCTTGTGGGGGTTGAGCTCTGGCTCTTTGGTCCTGCCTCTCAACCATCAATCAACTGATGTACAGATTCCTGAGCCTACTGGGCTTTATCGTATCTACATTTGAAACTGTGTATGGAGTCAGCCTGCACTACATCACTGCCTAATGCATTCTACCTGTTAACTACTCTTACACTGAAAAAGTTCTTTCTGACGCCTCTGTGGCTCATTTGGGTACTCAGTCTTCACCTGTGTCCCCTTGTTTGCGTACCACCCGTGTTAAACAGTTTATCCTTATCTACCCAGTCAATTTCTCTGAGAATTTTGTAGGTAGTGATCATGTCTCCCCTTGCTCTTTTGTCTTCCTGTGTCGTGAGGTGCATTTCACACAGCCTTTCCTTGTAACTCATGCCTCTTAGTTCTGGGACTAGCCTAGTGGCATACCTCTGAACTTTTTCCAGCTTTGTCTTGTGCTTGACAACGTATGGGCTCCATGCTGGGGTCGCATACTCCAGGTCTTACATATGAGGTATACAAGGTTCTGAATGATTCCTTACACAGGTTCCTGAAGGCTGTTCTGATGTTAACCAGCCTCACATATGCAGATGTAATTATTTTAATGTGCTCTTCAGGAGACAGGTTTGGTGTGATATCAACTCCTAGATGTTTCTCTCTGTCCGTTTCATGAAGTACTTCATCTAATACTCTGTATCCTGTGTCTGGCTTCCTGTTTCCACCGCCTAGTTTCATTACCTTGCATTTACTCGGGTTGAACTTTAGTAGTCATTTGTTGGACCATTCATTCAGTCTGTCTAGGTCATCTTGTACCCTCCTACTATCTTCCTCTGTTTTAATCCTCCTCATAATTTTTGCATCATCAGCAAACAATGAGAGGAACGATTCTATACCCTCTGGGAGATCATTTACATATATAAGAAACAGTATAGGTCCAAGGACTTAACCCTGCGGGACTCCACTGGTGACGTTTCGCCAATCTGAGACCTCACCCCTCACAGTGACTCGCTGTCTTCTGATGCTTAGGTACTCCCTTATCCAATGGAGTACCTTCCCTTTCCCTGTGTGCATGCGTGTAATTACCTAAGTGTAGTTACAGGATGAGAGCTACGCTCGTGGTGTCCCGTCTTCCCAGCACTCTTTGTCATATAACGCTTTGAAACTACTGACGGTCTTGGCCTCCACCACCTTCTCACTTAACTTGTTCCAACCGTCTACCACTCTATTTGCGAAGGTGAATTTTCTTATATTTCTTCGGCATCTGTGTTTAGCTAGTTTAAATCTATGACCTCTTGTTCTTGAAGTTCCAGGTCTCAGGAAGTCTTCCCTGTCGATTTTATCAATTCCTGTTACTATTTTGTACGTAGTGATCATATCACCTCTTTTTCTTCTGTCTTCTAGTTTTGGCATATTTAATGCTTCTAACCTCTCCTCGTAGCTCTTGCCCTTCAGTTCTGGGAGCCACTTAGTAGCATGTCTTTGCACCTTTTCCAGTTTGTTGATGTGCTTCTTAAGATATGGGCACCACACAACAGCTGCATATTCTAGCTTTGGCCTAACAAAAGTCATGAACAATTTCTTTAGTATATCGCCATCCATGTATTTAAATGCAATTCTGAAGTTAGAAAGCATTGCATAGGCTCCTTGCACAATATTCTTTATGTGGTCCTCAGGTGATAGTTTTCTATCTAGAACCACTCCTAGATCTCTTTCTTTATCAGAATTCTTTAAAGATTTCTCACATAATATATAGGTTGTGTGGGGTCTATGTTCTCCTATTCCACATTCCATAACATGACATTTATTAACATTAAATTCCATTTGCCAAGTGGTGCTCCATATACTTATTTTGTCCAGGTCTTCTTGAAGTGCATGACAATCATCTAAATTTCTTATCCTTCCTATTATCTTAGCATCATCAGCAAACATGTTCATATAATTCTGTATACCAACTGGTAGATCATTTATGTACACAATAAACATCACTGGTGCAAGAACTGAACCCTGTGGTACTCCACTTGTGACATTTCTCCATTCCGATACATTGCCTCTGATTACTGCCCTCATTTTTCTATCAGTCAGAAAATTTTTCATCCATGATAGAAGCTTACCTGTCACCCCTCCAATATTTTCCAGTTTCCAGAACAACCTCTTATGTGGAACTCTGTCGAAAGCCTTTTTTAGGTCCAGATAGATGCAGTCAACCCAGCCATCTCTTTCCTGTAATATCTCTGTGGCCCGATCATAGAAACTGAGTAAATTCGATACACAGGATCTTCCTGATCGAAAACCATACTGTCTGTCTGATATTATATCATTTCTCTCCAGGTGTTCTACCCATTTAGTTTTGATTAGCTTTTCCAATACTTTCACTATTACACTTGTCAATGATACAGGTCTATAATTGAGGGGGTCTTCCCTGCTGCCACTTTTGTAGATTGGAACTATGTTAGCCTGTTTCCACACGTCTGCTACGATTCCTGTACACAGGGATGCCTGAAAGATCAGGTGAAGTGGAATGCTGAGCTCAGATGCACATTCTCTCAGAACCCATGGTGAAACGCCATCTGGGCCAGCTGCTTTGTTCCTCCCGAGCTCATTTAGCATATTTTCCACTTCATCTCTAGACACCTCTATCCGCTCTATGTTGTTCTCTGGAATTCTTATTGTGTCTGGTTCTCTGAATATTTCATTTTGTACAAACACACTTTGGAACTTTTCATTTAATGTTTCACACATTTCCTTTTCATTTTCCGTGAATCTGTTTCCCATTTTCAACCTCTGGATATTATCCTTTACCTGCAATTTGTTGTTTATGAATTTGTAGAATAGGCCCGGTTCTGTTTTACATTTATCTGCTATCCCTTTTTCAAAATTTCTTTCTGCCTCTCTCCTTACTGCTGTATAGTTGTTTCTCGCATCTTTGTATCGCTGGTATGTTTGGGGGTTTGGCCTCTTCCTATACTGATTCCATTTTTGTGTCTTTTGGTCTCTTGCCCTCTCACAATTTCTGTCGAACCAATCCTGTTTTCTGGTCCTGCATCTCTGTTTTGGTATGAATGTTTGTGTGCCTTCCTCGTATAGTTTTAAAAATTTGGCATACATTTCATTTACTTCCCTGCCTAGCAACAATTCTGTCCAATTACACTCATTAAAAAAATTTCGAAGTGTGTGTGTGAGTGTGTGTGTAATTTCCTAAGTGTTTTTACAGGATGAGAGCTATGCTCATAGTGTCCCATCTTCCCAGTACTCTGTCATATAATGCTCTGAAACTACTACTATGTGATAAGACAGAGGTGTTATCGATTTTAAGCCTAAACGATGAGGCATTCAATATACTGAACAAAAATCTGATAAAAGATAGAAGAAAGATATTTCTACTGAAAATGCCTCTTTCATTTATGTAAATTCAAAATCAGCTATAACTACCCATTACCATACCACAATGTAATTCCATCTTAAGTACTGTATTTGAAATAGTTATGCCAGTACATAAATGAATCATCATAAACCTCATTTCTTGCTTTCTTTCACAGGATGGGGAAGAATCAGCACAGAAAAAAAGAGAGAGGAACAATATAAAATATAATTCATAACCAACAGCAAGCACAATAACATTAACTCAGAAGAGAAAGATAAGATGATTAAGATTTGGCATGTAAATAAATGCTCCACTGCTGAACATATTATATACATGCAGTACTAGCACTAGTAGGCCTACATAAGGATAGTAGCTGACCTCCAGTATAAGCATAAAGATCAGTGAGAATCAGCATTATGGCCAGTGGTGTCCATTGCGTCACTTGTCCCACTGTCACTGGAGCCGACACGACTGAAGAAGCATCACCCATAGCCACCAGTTCTGTCCACCTCCTATTGAAATAGGGAAAGTACTAGTAATATGTTACTTTCTAATGACAAGTTACAAAATGTGAAATACATGTACTGTACTACAGTGACTACACCACATTTCTGAAGATGGAGAAATGAAGTTTCGGTCCATTCTGGACCATTATCAAACGTGTGAACGACTCGATAATGGTCCAGGACGGACCAAAACTTCATCGTTTTTCCATCTTCTAAGTTGTGGTTTGGTCATCATTTATTCAGCCACATTATTGTGACTCATCATCTGCATTGTACTACAATCTATATCAGGCAAGGATAACCTCTGGGTTATGAGCTAGAGCTTGTTACTATTTAATTTGTTAATATATTTTGTTTGTAGAGGATATGAATATACAGATAAAGCAATGTACCTGACTGAGACATTATCACTCGACAAGATTTGACAAGTGTCAAATCTGCAGTGGTTTTTGCCTAAACTGAAACCTTTAAACCCAGTTTTAAAGACACCAATAAATTTGAATAAATAGTTGGCTGCCTGGTTGCTACTCCAAACTGTAACTAGGTGAAAGCTCTGGCTGTGTAGTTCAGGAGGTGACAGTCAGTGATCCTACCTTACTTTTAACCCAAAGTGCCCTAGGAGAAGCATAGGGTAGGTTGGGACAAACAGGACGGAATGGGGGAAGAGAAGGGAATTAGCAGGAGAAAGTGCCAAATCATTACAATTATATAGCACTTGGAAGGGATGAGGATAAAGATTTGGAATGGAGGGATGAGGATAAAGATTTGGAATGGGATGGTAGCCATGGTCACTCTACCATGGCTATGGCACACATTTATATCGAGATGGGCACACGGTCTTAGAGGAGAATCCAAAGGAAGTTTTCCTGGACAGTAAACATCCCAGTTAGGCAAACAGATTAGAGGCACAATGCTGCCATCATACAGAGGTAAACAGAGACCACCACGACCCCATGTGGCCTGAGTATCAACATCTACTGCTCAACCAAGGTAGGATAAGTTCTCCTGGTTTGCTAGCTTTCATCATTGCTTTTGATGACGAAGATAAGTGTTTTAGGAAATAGCAGGACACATGCCATTCCCAACACTGTATATTTAAGATCAAAGTACATGATATTAGACCTAACATAGGAACTTAATCGCAGTGGACCACAAACACAGCAAGGAACTAGAGCTTTCAGACGTTACTGACATCTGTAGATACAAAGTCAAATGCTACAAACCACTGGGTGACCGATTAGCGAAACATGTAATCCGACATGTTGTAGACATTAGTGCAGAGGACATCAAGGCACAACTTAAGGCAGATGGCATTCCAATCTTCGGAGTGAAAAAATGAATGCGAAGAACAAACTGAGAACTGAGTGATACAGGCACTGCCCTGCTTACTTTTCTAGACTACTTTCCCCCTGATCAGGTTTGGTTTAACGGCTTCCTCCATAAACTAGAGGTGTACGTACCCCGTCCCACTCAGTGCTTCAGATGTAAAGATTTCAACCATACCTGAAAAGGCTGCACCAATGACATTAAATGTGGGAAATGCTCTGATACCCATTACACACAAGACTGTACATCAGATATACTCACCTGCTCAAACTGTGGTGGCAATCATGACATTACATTCAAACAATATACTCCATACATAGCAGCAAAAACTAAGGTTTTCCCTACCACCAATCTGCAATACAGTAGTGCATTAAAACAACCTAACTCAGTCCAACGCCAACCACTACCTCACGCTCAACCACAACCTTTGCTCGTACCTGTTCCTGATATGTCTGTCACTGACAATCCTACACCCCCAGAGTCCAATCCTCTTCCACAAAAATGTACAACTGAGTCCCGATCTTGTTGACGCTCTTGTCACTCACATTGAAAATGCACTAGAAGATGCTGGACCAACTCCTAACTAAATTCTTTGGACAAGCAATCTAACCCATTCCTGAGGCTGACCCAACAGACACCCCATCGACATCTACAGACAATGACATCTGCCCTAACACAGCTACCATTGCTGGATACACATCATTTGAACTGATGATGGAAAAATTCCTAAATGACTCCTTAGTACACCTCACGAAAGTCACTCCCCAAGCTGCCTTGCCACAAACTCCAACCACTGGCACCAAGAGTAAGAAACCCCCAGCTGTACAAACCCCCCCAGCTGTACAAACCTCCCAATGACCTGGCACTGACTGAAAAACTCATAAACCACACACTCACATATTCAACAGTGTATTACTGGCACACCAAAGAAGACCACTGTAATCAAATCTCAGATGTAAAAATACAAAATACGACACCATAAGAACCCATCTTCAACTAACTTACCCCAACCTAATCTAACCTTGTACACATTAACCCCATGTTACTAAATGTACTCTACCTTACCATACCATAATCTTCCCTAACTCTACCTTACCATACCATAATCTACCCTACCCTGAATTGCGACTAACTCTCAAACATACTTCGACTCACAAACTCACACAGGCACTAATCACAGCATTACTAATCTCTGAGGAACTACTCACTTATGAACTACTGAGGCAATACTCAACGAGGCATAAATCACCAAGGCACTATTCATAGGCTCATCGAGGAACTACTCACTGAGGCGCTACTTACTGAGGGGGAAGTGTAAGAAGATCTGGCAGTGTTTTATGTATGGTCACCACCAGCTTGACTGCCAGGGTTTCAACATCACTCAGTAGGCCTCTAATGTCTAGCACTCTTCCTAGAAACAACACCTCAAACTGATCATCACTCGAGTTCAGCATCTGTCTCAATACTTCATTGTAGCCACTATCCTGTAAATGAATAAACAACATTTAACAACCTGTTGCATCACTTCTCATAACTGGAGACCTACTTCACCACAAAATGTGAAGGTTCCAACACAATAACGGTGCCTATACTGATAAGAACACTACAATACTAATGTGAAGGTTCCAATACAATAACGGTGCCTATACTGATAAGAACACTACAATACTAATGTGAAGGTTCCAATACAATAACAGTGCCTATACTGATAAGAACACTACAATACAAATGTGAAGGTTCCAACACAATAAAGATGCCTATACTGATAAGAACACTACAATACTAATGTGAAGGTTCCAATACAATAACGGTGCCTATACTGATAAGAACACTACAATACTAATGTGAAGGTTCCAATACAATAACAGTGCCTATACTGATAAGAACACTACAATACTAATGTGAAGGTTCCAATTCAATAAAGGTGCCTATACCAGTAAGAACACTGCAATACTAATGTGAAGGTTCCAACACAATAATGCTTCTTAATCCTGTTGATGTCTTCCAAACAACAAAGTCTTTTTATCATTATTCACTGCACGTTAGCTGATTCATCATAAGAGTCATGTTTCTCCGGTCACATTTATGTCCTCTCCCACCAAGTGCTGTCAATGCACATTCCAAATTTGTGTGTAGAGTATTCATTTTCAAATGTTGAGGGTCACTGTATCCTTCAATTTCACTCATTAATCTTTTATTGGGGCGCATCCGATCCCTCGATCATCATCGCCCCCTCAGGTAACAACAGCATAACCTTTTATGGTATAATTAGATTTCAAATGCATGAATAATTTTGAGAAGTGCAGTTTTAACACTGGAAGTAAAGGAAAATTATTTCCAGAAAAGCTTAAATGTTATCAGTTGAGAGTTATGGAAAATATTGTGCATTTAATTCCCAAACAGGGAAGCGACTACTAAATGGAGCTGTTTCAGGTCAGTTGTTATTAGGATGGGCCACTTTCAACCCCTTCTCACCTGCATCTTAATTATTATGAAAAAACAAACCCAAGTTACAAAATGATCCTTTCATTGGGTATTCACACTCTGGGTCAGGTCTCAGCTCGAGACAGCTCACTCTCTGGAATTTAACTAAATCTAAACCCTGTACAGTTAAAGTTTGTAACAAAAGGTTAAACATCTATTCACTTTACCTTTGTCTCATTGTTAACAATATATATTTTCAAGTCTCAAAAGTTATTCTACAAAATTTATAGCTATAAAGCCCACTTAAAGTGGAAGTGGAAACTTACAATATTTAACATAAATTTGAGTCGAGCATCTTCAGATGTTTTCTCTCTTGCAATAGCGATGCAAGTGGCAATAACACAAGTTGTGGACACTGTGCCATACACCCAGGGTTTCAGCTGAAGATAACCTTCTGCAGACTTCACACACCCACGGGTCAAGGCATCTTCTATAATTTCCTTCAGTGGTTTATCACCCCAGTTCTAATTAAAGAAACAGTAGTGTATAGCATTTACACAGTAGAACACAAATGATTTCCAGGTAAATAATACTTTTTAGATTAAAATACAGGCATTAGTAAATAACGTGTAAAAAGTACCAAAATGCCCCTTTCAGAGCAGACCCCCGAGTTTTTTCTTTAGCCATAGTCCACTCAATGCAATGCTCACACACCTGCCATTTGTCGACTGAGCCCAATCATGACAAATAATCTTTAAAATGGTCTCTCCATGAAATCCATGGGTTGGGAGCTATTAAGAGTAGAAATTAATCTCACCATACTGATAATTGGCAACACAAGGATAGTTAATAAAAGCAATGCAAACTACTTAACAACTATCTATCACAACCAGATGTCAATCAGATTACACAGCAGGGTCAGCTAACCTACCAACATCACAGCCATCCAAACCCCATGAGAGAGAGAGACAAAGAGAGAGGCCAACAAACACCATGGCCACCTTAAATCTACGAAGGGCATGCAAAGAGTAACACACACACTTAGGTAATTACACTGTCATCACAGAACAATGAACAGCTGGCTGGAGAAACCAGGCAACCACAAGACCTCACAAACAGCCAAAGGCACATTCTTTGCCAGAAGAGAAGGAAGCTGAACCTGAAGGGACAAAACTGAGCAGAACACAATCAGAAGAGACAGGGAAAGCCAAATATGAAGATTACATAAGGAAAATACAATAACATGATCTAAAAAATATAAAGGACCAAAGGATAAGGAGCTCACTGGAGTTGAAGGAAGGTCATAGACAATGGGAAAAACAGGGAAGAAGAGAGACCAAACCTAAAAACCAAGAGGAGAAGGCACCACCACACCCAAGCTGGGAAAGGCAGAACATCAGAAGGATGCATGGGATGAGACAAAGAGGCTAAAGACCCACAACCATAGCAGGGCCAGCCACTAAAAAGCCAAAAGAACAACCCCACTGACATGGCACTACCTTAGAAAAGAATGTGAGAAGCCATTACATAGGGGTTGGGGGGGGGGGAGGGAAGAGAAGACAAAAAAAAAAACAGAAAAACTAGCCAAGGAGAAACATGCTAACTGTGAATGCCCTACAACCCATAAACCGTCAGTTCCCAACTGGTTGGGACCAACCACTGGGTCAGTTAAGCTTTAGCTCTCCTTAGAACACTGTCAGGATGGAAGCAATTGAACACATTATGTTTGATGTGTGGCAGGAGGCCACAGGTCTTTTAAGTATTAGAAAAGAGGGCAGTGAGTCCAAAAACATTGGGAACTAGTATCATAAACCTGCAGGCAGCCAAAAGATGCACACACCCAACAGAAGGATGCATTGGCGATGAACCACTGTACCAAGAACAGGTAGTAAGGAGAGAGGCCCCCTGACAAGGAAACAGCTTATATAACAAAACTCCAAAATACCTGCAGAGGACAATGCCACAGGTTAAGAGAACGACCAAAGGGAGACAGGGAACCACTGAAGAACAGAGGGATTCCAGGGAAATGTGAAGTCCCTTAGAAGAAAAAGCCCTGCAGTGCAAACCAAACTGCTGTCACTACACAAACTGAGATGGGAGCTCACTGTAGATGATGCAGCCAACATCCTTGATCAGAAAAGCAAAACGTGAAGAACGCAGTCCCAACGGGAGCTGAAACATCAGTGAAAAGCATGAGTTTAGGAGGGAAAGGATGCCATGGTCCCAAAGGCTAGAAGAGGAAAGTGGAGTCAGAGAAGTCCTCATTGACTCCCAAGGGGACCACACTCAATGGTCCAACTAACAGCAGAACAGACGACCCAAGACAAATTGGAAGAGTACAAATATCCATATACTTCCCAGTGGAGAAACCAGGCAAGCAAAGCACAGACTACTGCACAGACACCCAAAAGACTGCAAATATTCTACGGACTCCACACTGCCAGAAAGATGCAAGACCCCAGGCATAGCTGACTTACCAGCACAAGGAAAAAAAGGAACAACCATCCAAACATTCCAAACCAAGTCCTGCTTGGCCAGAAAAAGTGATGGAACCAAACTGTATGCTCACCAGTCAATAAGAAACCTGAAACTCTAAGAACTGGGAAGAAATTGATTCCCAATAAGTAAAAAACCAAACTAGTCTGCAATCAAGGTATGCCAAGATGCGAAAACACCTGAAGAGTAAGACGAGTAACCACAACACGTGCCAGCAATGGGAAAATTACCAGGTGTTAGGACCAGCCCATAGAAAAGGCCTGGAGGGAGGGAATTATCAAGGAAAAGTGCCAAGCCATTATGACTATATAGCACTTGGAAGGGGTCAGGATAAGGATTTAGGATGGGATGGGGAAAAGGAATGGTGTCCAGCCACTTAATCGGTCAGGGATTGAATGCCGCCCTGCATGAAGCGAGACCGTCACTCTACCATCCAGCCCAAGTAGTTGGACAGGAAAGGCCTGGAAAGAAACAATGGATACCCGAAACAAAATCCCAGCTAGTCCCTGAACTCTAGGTGAAGATGGTTTGTCAATTGACTTGTCCCCCCAGGTAGTCCAAGGACACCAGCCAGATACCTGACAATAGAACCAAACAAATCTTATGAAGGGTGCTCATGTGGAACAGTGACAGAAAATAAAGAGATTCAGAGCCAAGAGGTCAAGAATGAAATGTGGTTCCAACAAGTCCTTCGCAGAAACTCCTAATAAGCATGATGCCCACCATAAGGACAGGGTCATCTCAACCACAACCACATCCAACAATGTCAGTGAGGACCCAACAGAGGTGCAGAGCAGATGGCTAAGCCAGGACCTACTACACCAGAAAGATTTGGGGAGGACCACCAACACTGAAGGCTTCTGAACACCACCTGGAATTTTCAGGCATTGGAAGACAAAGCCTGAGAAAACTGGGCCAGCCATCCCCTCATCCCACTATCAAGAGTGTGTATCATGAAAGGGCCCATGGTAAAAGCCAGGATGGGCTTTCCCCTTCAAAGTATGGAACAGGATTGCTGTTGCCAACAAGCAGCAGCTGACATCAAAGGAAGTGCCACAACCCAAGATATAGGCACCACCAGACCTTGACCAGGAGACTACACACACCAGACCTTGACCAGGAGACTACACACACCAGACCTTTGGTGCTGATGCATGGAAGAAGCCACACTATAACAAAACCCTAATTCAGCAGTTAAAAGGTTTCACCAGCAGCAGCAGCAAGTAACTGGAACACGTTCACTTCCGGGAACAAGAGAGAACATGGCATGTCGGAAAGAGACGACATGAAGAGACAGAGCCAGAGGGTAAAGAAACCAAAATGGAATGGAAGAAGCTGGGGAAAGGAAGAGGAATAAGATAATGTGAAATGGCAGAGGAAAGAAAGAGGGTTAGGGAGAGAAAGAATTCTAAACATGATAACAACACATCATTGACTTTTACCATTGAAGACAAAATGCTAATTTACCTTAGCCAAAAATAAAAAACTATTAAATAAAAGAAATGTCAATGAAAAAGAACACAAGAATAAAGTAAACTGCAGAAGGCCTATTGACCCATGTGACAGCCCTCATCTGTATCATCCAAACTCATTCATATGTATTTCTAACCTATACTTGAATTAGTAAAGTCAATACTCCAAAACTTACTGCATGTTGTTGAACAAGTTCATCACTGTTGATTCCTGCTTGTGGCAACTGCACCTGCTCTACACTGTGTAGGTAAAATGACACCTGAAAAATGTATACACTATTAAATTTTATGAAAGAACTGCACATGAATATTGATTCAAATTCAGTCAAAAACTAACATACAGTACAGTGCAGTATTTTTAAAATACAGACTTCAATACTGAAGAAATCTGAAAAATCTGAAACAATTTTGCCACCAGACAAAACTACATCAGGATTAGGGGGTCTGGATTTTCAAGGAATTCTCAACTAACCAAACTGACTCGGTACAAATAGATCACTAAGTGTAATCAAAATACCTTTGGGCATGCCCTCAGTAGTCTCCCAATAGCTTGTCACTGGCACATTTAAGACACTTGAATATGCCAGACTCCTAGTGACTTTCAACCCACCAGGACCAAAGACCTTTACAAACTGTCTTGCCCCATTAATGGAGAAGGGAGAATGTAAGAATCTAAAATCAACTCACTACCAAGATGAACCATCTGCTAAAATGCAGATAAATAAAAAATAGTAATAATCAGTACCACTGAATTGCCAAATAAATACAAGCCTCCCTCAGGCCTCCATCTAGAGGCATTTTAATTTTTTTTTTACGCACAGGTGAGTATAGGAATGGACACCTTCTGATTCCTGATAGCAGGCTGGGAGCTTTCCTTTCCCATAGCTCCTGGTAAGCTTTACCCACTAGTTTCTTTGAAACACGACCTGCCAATCGATAAATCTGTCAATCTGGGACCTGATGGCCGAGTGGACAGTGCTTTGGGTTTGTAGTCGTAAGGGTTTGGATTCGATCCCAGGTGGAGGCGGAAACAAATGGACAGTTTCTTTCACCCTAATGCCCCTGTTCACCTAGCAGTAAATAGGTACCTAGGAGTTAGACAGCTGCTACTGGCTGATTCCTGGGGATGTGTGTGTGTGTGTGTGAAAATTAGGATTAAAAACTTGCCTGAAATGTTATGCATGCTAGTGGCTGTACAAGCATGTAAGAACTCTTGTATATATAAATAAATAAAAATAATAAATAAAATTAACAGCCAGGTACCCAGTTACTGCTAGGTGAACAGAGACAAACAGCTAAGGATTGACGTTCAAGCAATTTATCCTGGCCAGGGAGGATTGTCTGGGTGTCAATCCTTAACTGTTCACAATCCTCTGATCACCCAGCAGTAATTGGGTACCTGGTTGTTAATCGATTGGCAGGTCATGGTTCCAGGGAAAACTAGTAGGTAAGGCTTACCATGAGCAGTGAGAAGGGAAAGCTCTCGGCCTGTTAACATAAGCTAGAAGTCATCTGTTTCTTAGGTTCAGGAGTAAGGTGGACACCACTCCAGAGACAAAGAAAAATCTGTTGATACGGTATAGAGAAGTTTGGGAACACAAGGCACAAATGGGGGAGCAACTGAGGTGCTACCCTGAAAGAGGCATTTCATTACACTTGATGCTCTATTTCTGAACTAGCCCTCTTATTAGCCTCCACAACTCCCTCTTCATTACCTCAATGACTGCTACATTTAGAAACAGAGGATACATGTACTAATATTACAAAATCAACAAAACACAGGTGATACATAAGCATGATAAATCTTGAGTAAATTTGGTAGAAATGGATAATCAGAGTATGTTGTGTTGTGTTAGGCCAGAGTAAGGAATGATGATGCTGTTTTCTGCCAAAAGGGTAAGCTTATGGAACTGCCTACCCAACAAACCTGTAAATGCAGCAGGAAAAAATCTTCAGGAATAATGAAGGGACTTTTCACAAGCCACAAGCTTCCTGTCATCAGTAAGGCCACCAGAGATGGTCACTCAAAGATAAAAAAATAATGGCCACCAGAGATGGTCACTCAAAGATAAAAAATTAATGGCCACCAGAGATGGTCACTCAAAGATAAAAAAATAATGGCCACCAGAGATGGTCACTCAAAGATAAAAAAATAATGGGAATACACACAAAATCACACTAACGTGATATACATCATTGAGAAAATCTACCGAGATTTTCTGGGACTCACTGGGCTGTGAGGTGATGCGAACTTGTGACCAAGGCATTGCCAGCCACATACTCTACTACTGTATTATCACTGACTTGTTAAAAGTCATACAACCAGATTTCTACTGAAATCACAGGAAGTCTGGAGGTCTCTCCTGAAGCCAGTTCAAGTTTTATGTAAGACCCCCCAAGCACTCGGGTGAAGAGTAAAGTAGCTCAACACTTTACACCCCCCCCTCCAAACTCCTATAATCTTCATTATTCAACAGATACAGTAAAGTCAAATTTATGCAACATCCTTAAGAATATATTTCTCACCTGTTCTGTCATCTGTAATACCATTTGAGATATGCTGTCACAGTCGATGTACTGGAGAACATTACTCATCTCTTCTAGTACATTCTGAAACAGAAAAATCACATTTAACAATTATAAATTGGAAATGCAACCCTCATCCATTTGTAACTCAACCTCTTATTATCTTATGTTCGTTTGTATCTTTGTAGTTCAATGCAATAACTTAGTTCTCATGCATTTCTTTCTTTTCATATTTGCATTTAAAATTGTGTATTGGGTTAACATTAACCACTGTCTAATCAATTCCACTTATTTACAAATCTAACAATGAAGTTCTTTCTGATATCCCTGTAATTCATGTGGGTCTTGGATTTTGATCTAAGTGAATGTTCACTTTACAGGTACAGTATCATTACTAACCTATGTAATACATCTACCTACACTCCCCTATCATTTACCCATAATTCAGGGCATAATTATATTATGATGTCATACTTACAAACCTCAAGTGTTTGCACCCTCTCCCTCTCAGGCTTGAACTTTGAAGTAGCCCTCAAAATAGGCATCTTAATACTCCCATGTTCCAAACTAGCTTAAAAGACAAGTTTGTACTCTTCTGGCAATTTAAAGGCCTTGTTTTCTGTGAATCCTCCAGTTGTCTGTAAAGTGCTCACCTAGTTCCATTTACCTGGGCTGGTCTCGAACCGTGGGCCCCGTGCGTGTGAGACCGACTCTCTATCAATGAGGCTGACGCTCTCGGCCTCACATGCGTGGGGTCCACGGTTCAAGATCCATACAGCCCAGTTAAATGGAATGTTTATTTCCACGGAAGTGTGGATGGCAATTTATACCTACTTAGTTGTTGTACTCACCTTGTTGTGCTTATGGGGGTTCAGCTCTGGCTCTTTGATCCCCCCTTCTCAACTGTTAATCAACTGATACAGATTCCCAAGCCTACTGGGGCCAGATTCACGAAGCAGTTACACAAGTACTTACGAACATGTACATCTTTTCTCAGTCTTTGGCGGCTTTGTTTACAATTATTAGACAGTTAATGAGCTCTGAATCACCAGGAGGCTGTTTATAACAATAACAACAGTTGATTGGGAAGTTTTCATGCATGTAAACTGTTTAATAAATGTAAACAAAGCCACCAAAGATTGAGAAAAGATGTACACGTTCGTAAGTTCTTGTGTAACTGCTTCGTGAATCTGGCCCCTGGGCTCTATCATATCTACACTTGAAACTGTGTATAGAGTCTGCTTCCAGCACATCACTGCCTAATGCATTCCATCCGTTAACTACTCTGACACTGATAAAGTTCTTTCTAACGTCCCTGTGGCTCATTTGGGTACTCAGTTTCCACCTGTGTCCCCTTGTTCGCATACCACCCATGTCAAACAGTTTATTTTTATCTACCCTGTCAATTCCTCTGAAAATTTTGTAGGTAGTGATCATGTCTACCCTAACTCTTCTGTCTTAAAATGGCATGAGGTTCAGTTCCAGTAATCTTTCCTCATAGCTCATTCCCCTCAGCTCGGGGACTAGCCTGGTGGCATACCTCTGAACCTTTTCTGACTTCGTTTAGTGTCCGACTAGATGTGAACACCATGCTTGGGTCTCATATTACAGTATTGGTCTGACATATGAGGTATATAAGATTCTGAATGACTCCTTACACAAGTTTCTGAAGGCAGTTCTTATGTTCGCCAGCCTTGCATACGCCTTTGAAAAAGGCATATGCCTTTTTTTCAGCCTTTAAAAAAAACGATGAACTTCCCAGCTCTATTGCAGCTAAAGTATGTCACATACAATATTTTTTTGGTAGTTTCCCATGATCAGATGTTTCCCATTTTAACAATATAAGAAGAGAAAATAATTTTTGGGGAAGAATTTATTTCCTGCGCACCAGGAGGTTGCCATACAGTATTTGGAGGCAGAGCAGTTCAGTGGTTAATGCTTGTTGCTTGGTCATAGAATTTTATTAAACATGTGAGACACGACCTGCCTTCCATGAACCCATGCTGGTGACATGTTACAAAGTCGCTTCTCTCCAGATGTGCTACCAGGCTTTTTCTCATGATCTTCTCCATCATCTTGCATGGTATAGAAGTTAAGGCCACCAGCCTGTAGTTCAGGGCCTCCTGCCTATCCCCTTTTGTAGATTGGTACTACATTAGCTGGCGTCCAACTCTCTGGTAGGGCTCCCATTTCCAGTGACTTGTTATATATCATAGACTGTGGCATGCAAAGTGCTTCTACTTCCCCCCTCCCCCTCTTTTAGCATACATGGTGAGATTCCATCAGGTCCAACAACCTCAGTCACTTATATACATACAGAAGTATTCTATTTGTTAATTAGTGTCTATTTGAGATAGAACCCTCTCTCTCTCTATAGATAGAGTCAGATATATAGAGATAGAATATCTCTATTTGTTCTATAGTCACTTCTATATCATGCAGATACCTCCTAACCTTATCTCTGGTAATTTCAATATCTTCCAAGACTGCTTGGTTTATTGCCGCCCCTCTTAGTTCAGTCTTTTCCCTTACTGTATTGTAAAGACTTCCTGGAATCTTATTGAGTACCTGTTTTCTGCCTCCTGACACTTCTGGATGATGTAGTCCATCATGCCTTGTGCAGACTTTCCACCGAGTTCTGTCTTCCATGGTATTCCTGTTAGAAATCTTCTAATCTTATAGTTTCCCCTTCGGTATTCCAGCCTTTTACCTTTCGGTCCATTCCTTGGATGGGTTAATGCTACTTCCACCAGATACTCAAATGTTAGGACACTGTAGTCACTCATGCCTATGGGAGTGCTAATTTGACTTCCTTTATGTCTGACTTGTTCCAGGTGAATATCAGATCAGGTCTGGCTGGTTCATCATTCCCTTTCATTCTAGTTGGGCCCCTTCACATGTTGGCATAGAAAGTTTCTTGTTGTCATGTCTAATAGTTTAGCTCTCCATGTTTCTGTCCATGTGGTTCTCTATTTTCCCAGTCTATCTTTTCAGGGTTGAAGTCATCCATGATCAACAGTTTATATTTCTTCCTGCAAGCAATAAAAGCCGCTCTCTATTATGTTATTAGTTGCCATGTTGTTCCTGTCATACTCCTGTCTGGGTTTTCTGTCATTTAACAGGGTGTTATATATTACTACTGCCATTATCCTTGGTCCTACCATTGTCATAGTGCCTGCTCTATAGTCTCTGAAATCATCACATCCTGAGATGTCCATCACTTTGAAATTCTATGCCTGCCTTATCAGCCGAGCCACTCCTCCTCCTCTTCCCTCCCTCTCTTTCCTTACTGAATAGTAGTCCTGTGGAAACACTGAATTTGTTATGATGCCTAAGAGTTTTGTTTCTGCGAGTGCTATTATATCGGGGTTTTCTTTTGTGTTCTTTCTACAAGCTCTTATTTTGTTTATAATCCCATCTATGTTTATGTACAGCACTTTCAAGCTTATTTTTGTCTCTCCATCCTCAGTTACTCATGCTGGCTGTTCCTTTGGTGCAGACAGTTGCTCCATGGACTGGGACGCATAGGTGGGGTTGATATGCTGTGCGATACTTAACACGGGTTCAGAGGATGTTGTGGTGGGGCATGGTTCAAGGGGGTGGGGGAGAAGGGATGGCTTGGGGGGGGGGGGGGGGGTGAGGAGAAGGGATGGCTTGGGGGGGGTGAGGAGAAGGGAGGGCTTTGGAGGGTGGGAGAGATGGGAGGGCTTTGGGGAGGGGTAGGAGAGAAGGGAGGGCTTTGGGGGATGGGGGAGAAGAGAAGGGAGGGCTTTGGGGGATGGGGGAGAAGGGAGGGTTTTGGGGGATGGGGGAGAAGGGAGGGCTTTGGGGGATGGGGGAGAAGGGAGGGCTTTGGGGGATGGGGGAGAAGGGAGGGCTTTGGGGGATGGGGAAGAAGGGAGGGCTTTGGGGGATGGGGAAGAAGGGAGGGCTTTGGGGGATGGGGAAGAAGGGAGGGCTTTGGGGGATGGGGAAGAAGGGAGGGCTTTGGGGGATGGGGAAGAAGGGAGGGCTTTGGGGGATGGGGGAGAAGGGAGGGCTTTTGGGGGCGGGGAGAAGAGAGGGCTTTGGGGGGTGGGGGAGAAAGGAGGGCTTTGTGGGGTGGGGAAGAAGGAAGGGTTTTGTGGGGTGGGGAAGAAGGAAGGGTTTTGGGGAGAAGAATGGAGGGCTTTAGGGGGTGGGAGAGAAGAGAGGACTTGGGAGTGGGGCGGGGTGGAGAAGGGAAAACTTGGAGAGTGGGGGAGGGTGGACTGGGTGGGCATTTAGTGGGGGGACTGGTAAGGTTTGGGGCAGGTAGGACTTCTATTGAGTGGAAGGTGGAGGTGATGCTCCTCTCACTGGGGCTGCTGAACTGCTTGTGGAGAGTTCACCACTTCCCTCTCCTCTGGGAGTGTAGGGTTTGGGGCTGTGGTTCCCTAATTCCCTTCTCTCCAGGCTTCCTTTCCCCAACATAGGGAAAATGGGTTTAAGCTGAATATGGGAATGCTACTATGCCTGTACATGTTTGCAGAAACCAAGCTCATGTGTATATATACATGTAGATGGATGATATACTCAACATGCACTTGTATATAAATGTGTACATGCAAATGTTACCACACTTATCAAATTACTGGCTTACTGTAAAGTGATGCTTGGCAAGATATTTAAGAGACAGTGCAGTGGCATATGACTCTTCTTGCTGAGCATAACGGGGAATATAGCCAAGAAGTAAATCTGCGAGCTGACCATACTGCTTTGCGTTTGTCTCTGCCAGCCCGACCCAACCCTCTTGGTGGTTACATGATGCCAGGAACACACTCAAACCTACAGAATACATAGTTACTTCAGAATTTGCACAAAAGCAGCATTTCAATTTCTAAATCTTAAAGTAGTTTGACAGGTGCAGGGCGCCCATATTATTTAGTAAGCTTTTCCACTTGTATTTTAAAATACAGCATTGTCATCTTTGCTTCAGTAGTATCAACAGGCAGATTGTTCCACAAGTTTGAATAATATTGAAGATAATGATGATAATGATGATAATGATGATAATGATAATGATGATAATGATAATAATTACAATAATGATAATAAATAATAATTTATCATCCACATTTCCATGAAAAACATTTCATTTACCTGGGCTCTAGGAGACTCGAACCGCAGACCCCCACATGTCCGCCCTGTCTACGTCTGCCCGTGCTTGATAGAGCTCTATCTGCCCTCGATAGAGCTTCAGCCTCACATGCGTGGGGTCCGCGGTGTGAGAATGAACTAATAATAATAATAAACAATCCCCACATTGCTCCAACTGATTTTTTCATTGATGTATCACACCATTGTGATTTCTTTGTGTTCTGAAGTGAGGAAGAGGGGTTTGATGAACTCCATTACCCACATGCCAGAGTGTAGGCGGGCTGTTTGTAAAACCTGGTTGTGGCAACAGCTGTAGGACCCTGTAGTTCTGGGTTGAATAGCTTTTGTCCTTTCGTGGCCGAGTGGGTTAAAGCATGCATCTTATATTCTCTTGAACACAGGATCAAAGCCCACACATTTCTCCAACTGATTTTATCATAAGTGCTGTAAAAATATTAAGTTCCTATTAAGAATGCCACCCATTATATGAAAGCCACCCATACAATACTGTATGAGCTCACTTATCCAAATTCTGCTAATCTGGATATTTGGGTTATCCGGCCAAAATTGTGTCCAGATATTTTTCCGGCAAAACTTCGCCCAGATAACAGTCTAGATAACCGGAGATTTTGTCGGATACCGCAGACAGGGAACAGGCCATACCATATTAATCCTGTACAGCAGTGGATCAAGGCGTTAGGAGGGTGATTTCGAAGTAGGGAGTGTCGGGAGAGAGGGAAGAGTTGGGAGGGACTGTTTAAGGAATGAGAGGCATGTGGATGGGACAATGATCTATATTGTATAGAATAGGCCAGAATTATTTTAGAAAAACTCATTACAGTAAAAAGTTAAAGAAATATTATCTAATATTATAACAAATACAAATTTCTTAAAACTATGTGTACACGCTGAAGACTGTAGTTAACTGCTAAAATTTTGAGATCTTTTTCTGCCTGGTGGCGTATGTAATGTGCCTACCTACGACAAGTGGACCAGTCCAGGCCTGGTCAAGCTAAACAGGCCATGCACTCTCAACCCTCGTGTTATATCACAGTGCCGTGCTATTACAGTAGTAATAATACAGTAATAATAATGTATTTTTACCTGAATAAAAATGATATATACAAAATAGTGAAACATTTTCTAAAATAACTTTCTTGTTTTCATAGTAACTTTGATCATTTTTTTTGCCAAGTCTGGTAGCAGCAATAATCATTCTGGAGGTGTTAAGAAGAAGATTGTGCTAACCATTGAAGATAAGTTGTGTGTTATAGAATTGTGTGAAAATGGCCGGCTGGCTGTAAGTGTTGCCAAGGATTTTGGTATAGGCACCAGTACTGTCTCTATATATAAGGAAACATATAGGTGACTACATGAAATACATAGTTACTAGTGAGTGTGAGAGAGTTTGTACTAGTTGAGGGTTTAATAGAAAACTTTGAAGCCTGCACACTATGCTCAGTTGGGTGAGGCTGTGCTTGCACAGCACCCCACTGTGCGTGTGACAATTTGCGGTGCAGAAATAAGAAATGCTGGAAGCAGGTTTGCAGCCAGCCTTGGAATACCTGATTTCAGGGCAAGTGGCAGTTGGATTTCCAGGATTAAACCGAGGCACAATGTTGTGAAGAATAAAAGTGAAGCCTCACCAGAAAGCCAAGAGCCTCAACCAGTGATGCTTCAGCAGCTGGCAGTCAAAACTGACCTTGCCAAACTCATGTACTGTACAGCAGTGTTGTGAGGTTACGTAAATTTTCAAGAACTATTGATTTCCAGATGTACAATATCAATCAAGATGATGAACTACAATAAGGTAAGTTGGAAATTTCTGTTTTAAATTACAGTACTGGTATATTTTTTTAATTATATTGGGTGTGCATGTGTGGAAATTCAAATTATTTTGGTTGTGTTACAAAAAACGTGAATGTTAGTTTTTGGATTCCTTGGATAGGAATTTTGCTTATCTCCACTGGATGTCTGACTTATCCGGTGGGAAGGCCTTCCAATATACAGTAGTCCAGATAAGTGAGCTTCTATTATCTTGAGGTTATATCGAGATGTTTTCAGGGCTTAGCGTCCCTGCAACCCAGTCCTCGACCAGGCCTCCTTTATGTTACACACCCCCAGGAAGCAGCCTGTAGCAGCTGTCTAGCTCCCAGGTACCTACTTATGACTTGGTGAACAGGGACATCAGGGTGAAAGAAACTCTGCCCATCTGTTTCCGCCTCTGCTGGGGATCGAACCCGGAACCTAAGGACTATGAATCCCGAGCGGTGTCTACTCAGCCGTCAGGCCCCCTGACAGCCAGCTCACATAGTACAGGTATTTAGCAAAATAAGTCTGCTCACATTCCGCTGCAAAGAATTCTTAGTTTTGGCCAAAATTTTCATGAATTTTTCGGGGATGAAATCAAGATTTTCACAGAAATATAATATGCAAAATCATGCCACACAGATATGGGAGTCTACTTTATTTTCAAAATTGTTAACTGTGATAAGCATTATTATATTCCATGTGGAAATCACGTATTATCTACACTAAATCGAATATGCTAGTCAACTAGCCACTTGTGAAGTTCAAGTAAATCATTTTCACCTCTTCATACACTGTAGAATCGTTCACAATAGCTTTTTGTTTATAGTGTAAAGCACATAGTGGCTGTGAACTATCATTCCCCCATATTTGTATCCTCTGATACCTTTCACAAACATTTATCCTGAAAAATGTTCTTTTTAGTACTACAGTACTGTATTCAGAAATAATTCCATCAATATAATTTCTTATCAGCAGCACCTTACCTTAGTAAAGTTATATTATATACATGTATAGTAATTACGTTAACTCTCAAATTACTTAAATTTTTCATCGTATACCTCAATCACTAGATACATTTCTTTGTTTAAAATTTACTAATTAAATTTCACTGCAAATTTTGCTTGAGCTCTAAGACTAGTCAGAAATTATGTGTGTGTTAGTACTCACCTAGTTGTACTCACCTAGTTGTGTTTGCGGGGGTTGAGCTCTGGCTCTTTGGTCCCGCCTCTCAACCGTCAATCAACAGGTGTACAGATTCCTGAGCCTATCGGGCTCTGTCATATCTACACTTGAAACTGTGTATGGAGTGAGCCTCCACCACATCACCCCCTAATGCATTCCATTTGTCAACCACTCTGACACTAAAAAAGTTCTTTCTAATATCTCTGTGGCTCATTTGGGCACTCAGTTTCCACCTGTGTCCCCTTGTGCGTGTTCCCCTTGTGTTAAATAGACTGTCTTTATCTACCCTATCAATCCCCTTCAGAATCTTGAATGTGGTGATCATGTCCCCCCTAACTCTTCTGTCTTCCAGCGAAGTGAGGTTTAATTCCCGTAGTCTCTCCTCGTAGCTCATACCTCTCAGCTCGGGTACTAGTCTGGTGGCAAACCTTTGAACCTTTTCCAGTTTAGTCTTATCCTTGACTAGATATGGACTCCATGCTGGGGCTGCATACTCCAGGATTGGCCTGACATATGTGGTATACAAAGTTCTGAATGATTCTTTACACAAGTTTCTGAATGCCGTTCGTATGTTGGCCAGCCTGGCATATGCCGCTGATGTTATCCGCTTGATATGTGCTGCAGGAGACAGGTCTGGCGTGATATCAACCCCCAAGTCTTTTTCCTTCTCTGACTCCTGAAGAATTTCCTCTCCCAGATGATACCTTGTATCTGGCCTCCTGCTCCCTACACCTATCTTCATTACCTTAGTGGCTGTGCGAGAATGTACTAGAAGGTCTTTTATTATTACAGTATTATTATTATTATTATTATTTTCTACCACAAACATGGCCACACATTTACAATGGTAACCAGCATATAGGTATACATTTTCTTCTGTTCTCCATGGACAGGGTTAGAGATCTGTTAAAATGTATAATTCAGTGATTTATTGAACAATCAACCACAGAAGGTGATTGTATACAACCCATTGTACCTTCTTGTATATTTAAATAAATAGAAGATACAATGGAATTAACACATTAACAATTATATTATATTAACATAATTGTATTAATTAATACAGTAATAGATTTTGGTCATTAATTGGCACATTCTTACTAAAGGCACTAACACGCATAATGCTTCGATGAAACCACAACACTTAAAAAAAATTTACATTCCGAATTTGAAGGTTTTTGTAACTTACAAGGTGAAGAGTCATTGTATGAGTATCAAGAGGCTATCACAGAGGCTATCCTTGCAGAGGCTGTCACAGCCTTGCTGTGACAGCCTCTGTCTTTCTAAATATAAAGTTAATGTTAACATTATATGTTAACATTAACATTAATGTTAACATATAACAGAGTTAATGTCTTTCTAAATATAGCTCTCAACAATTTACCGGGTGATAATTTCTTCATTCATTAAGGTATTAGTACTTGCATCTAATAATTACATATCTTACATATTTACATGCTCAACAATATTACCACTAGCAAGCAGAGGTTATATACAGTAAAGCTTTACTAACCTTGCTCCACCATCACTTTAACTTCTGATATTTTAGCCATATTCTGCTCATCAAGACCTTCACACATGGCTCCCAGCAACTCACCAATGTCAAACTCTGAATCCAGGCTACTAATTGATGCCTCCTGTAAGAAAACAAAATCTTCATCACCGATCAGTCCTATACTTTTGCAGGTGCAGAGTAGTCACCTCGAACGAAACAGAAGAGCAAAGAGGAAAATACTTAAAATATCTATACAGGAATGTCTTATATAAACTGCACAATTAATAGAACTGGTGCCATCACACGCAATACTGTATTATTAATTATTATTATTATTATTATTATTTTTATTTAAAACATATAAAGATCATCATGATACAGTGGTTAATTGATTGTTACAGAGTTTGTACACTTAATAAAGCCACTAATATGCAAAGTATTTCAGGCATGACTTAAGGTAATTCAATTCAATTAATTTATAGGTTTAATAGGGGTAAACACTTAATACTAAGCAAGAAGCAAGCTAACACATGTGGACTAATCAAGAAATTTAACAAGTGATACTTAATGAAGAAAGGCATAGACTACTTAATTATAAATGCTATAGTTTTATCAACAGAACAGGTATAGTATTTAATATTTACAACAAAAACACAATATTGGCTTATTTAGGATGAGGAAATGCAAGTGAATTTGTTAAATGATGTTAGATATTTCTTAAGTCTCTCTCTTAAACTGGTTAAGAGATCTTTGTTTTAGTCACATTTGGGAAGTGATTCCACAATTTGGGATCCTTAATTTGCATTGCTTCTCTGCTTTGGTCGAGCTGAAGGAGTGGGAAGTGGAGGCCCGACTACTTGCATTAAGAACATCAAAATATTTATCATGCTACAGAGCATTAATATTTGTTCAATTAATAGCTTACCTCATCCATTAACATTGCAACACCATCAGGAACAAGAAAAAGGTCAGGCAGGTTATGAATTATGCCAGGAATGATTGTAGTCTGCTCAGCAAATTTGTGGTGGCAACTGATGCTACTTGAACTCACATCAAAACTGAGGTAGTGTTGTGTCTCTGGAAGAGGTCAACATGGAACCAAACAATTTTTTTTAGATCTTTAAAATTATAAGATATATTTATGCACATATCATTCTTTACCTTACTCACCCTTTCAATTTGTAGATATCCACATGTCTGATAGCTATCTCATGGAAGCACTAGATAAATACTGTGCAGACATTGAATCACAATAACGTAGTTGAAGAAACGATGACCAAACAACAACTCAGAAGATGGAGAAGTGACACCATTTTGGGCCGTTATCAAGTCGTGTGATGATCAAGTTATCACAAGACTTGATTATGGTCCTGGACGGACCGAAACATCATCGCTTCTCCATCTTCTGAGTTGTGGTTTGGTCATCATTAAATAAGTCATCCTGTCGTGAGTCTAGACAAGAAAACATTGATGTACAATTCCTCAATTATATCATTAGGAGTGGCAATTTATGAAAATTTGTCCTTCACAGAATATGTGACAAACATTACAACCAAATATGCTAAGAAACTAGCTTGTTTATAGAGGGTAGCGCATCTTGCCTAGATGCTAAGGAGTGTTAACACTGCAACTCCTAAATCAGATTTACAATGGAGTACTTGCCATTAATTTTGGATTACTTTTTTTTTTTGAGATATATACAAGAGTTGTTACATTCTTGTACAGTCACTAGTACGCGTAGCGTTTTAGGCAGGTCCCTGGAATACGATCCCCGCCATGAAGAATCATTTTTACAACCAAGTACTCATTTTACTGTTGAGTTAAACAGAGGCTACAGTCAAGGATTTGCACCCAGTAAATCCTCCCCGGCCAGGAGGAGGATTTACTGCAGGTTTAAGTTGTTACATAAAATTTAAGATAGATCTGCCATCTATTGAGAAGCAAAGTTAATGTACTTGACCCAGTACTATACATGTAGTCTCTCCAACACAGAAAAGATGTGGCTAGTCTGTGTATTCTATACAGTTCAAAAATTGAAAATAGCCTATTTTGCTTCTCTAGAAGACCCTCCCTTAAGAACAAACTACCAAATAAAAGGTGCAATATGTGACTAACACTTAGATGTTCCCTTTGCATGTACAGAGTAATTTTGATGCTCCTATCACTCAAAGTTCACAACTGTAGACTGTATTGTGCCAACAGTCTGGTGACCAAACAATACAGTCACTTGACCAAATCAAAAACCCTTGCTACTGATAACGGTACAAAAAATGTTGTAGTTCTAGCTTGCAATCTTAAAGTAACTAATCACTTGTCAAAATTAATAATGGTACCTCAGTTTTCAAATTTAATCCGTTCCCAGAGACGATTCGAAAACCAAATATTCTAAAACCGAAACGAATTTTCGCACAATGTAAATTGAATTAATTCGTTCCACACCCCCAAAAATATTAACTAAAAAATACATTTTATACAAAATAATACTCATAGTTACCTTACCTATATTGAGGACTCTTGTTGGTGTATGGAAGACAGTGAGGAAGGGGAAAGGAGGAGAGGTGTTAGTGTTTGGAAGGGGGAGTCCCCTTCCATTATAACAGCAGTGACGACATTTCTGGGGTATGTACTCTCTTACATTTTGCAGGCATACCACTCGGACCAGGTTGTGGCTCATTGCTTGCGTGTCTTACTAAGATAGACACTACACTACACACAGAAAACACAATAACGTGATGCATCAAATGAACAAATCCACAAGGGCAGTAGAACTTCTGATTGCAATTCTTTTAACCATGTCGTAGTGCAATCAATTAAGGCAGCATCTGGGATACTCTCGGACGTAGGTTCGAACCCTCGTCACGGCTTTTGTGGATTTGTTCATCTGTCAATAGACACTTTTTTACTCTACGTTTTAATACGTCTGTAGTGAGACATCACATTGTCTCACTATGAATAATCTCTTGTTTTTCCTTTATCGTCATCCTCAGCTATTTTCTTGGGTTGAACTTTACCACTGACTTTCTTGGAACCCATGGTGTGATATAATAAGAACTTTTATGTTCAGAAACCAAAAAGGCACAAAAACAATGAAATTCTTCACAAAGAATTCAAGCGTGGTCATCACTAGGCGAGAGACACTGGCAAACTGAAGCGCTCCACATACTCAGTCGGCCTATACGTATATCAACAAATACGAGCACCAATTTAAATTTTTCAAAGAAATTGAGCTTGAGAACCAAAAAAATTGAAAACAGGAGCATTCAAAAACAGGCATTCGAAAACTGAGGTCAACTAGACCAGGACCATGACTAGACCATGTCATGGGCTAGTCGTCCAGAGTGTGTGCTTGGGAACACACAGTGCATAGGTTCGAATCCTCATCACGGCTCCTTTGGATTTTCTCATTGATGCAGTTATGTTAATGTGATTACTCTGGAGATTACCATTTATTTATTATTATTATATTACTATTATTGGTGCAGTGCTGTGCAGTGGAACCTCGGTTTTTGAATGCTCCTGTTTTCGATTTTTTCGGTTCTCGAGCTCAATTTCTTTGAAAAATTTGAATCGGTGCTCAAAATTTGCCTCGGTGCTCGTGTTTGTTGATACACATATGGGCCGACCAAGCACATGGCCTATGGATTTTCTTAATAATAATAATAATAATAATAATAATAATAATAAATAATAAATTATTATTATTATTACGCAGAGAAATCACACTAATGTGATATATATATCAATGAGGAAATGGACTGGAGCTCTTAGGTGACTTGAACCCCATAACTAGCATAATGCTAGTTGCAACCTCTACCACTGTACCATCCTGACTTGTATATGTTCAGGTCCAGTTGATTTTCTCATTGATATATATTATGTTTGTGTGATTTCTCTGTGTAATTGATGTTGGGGTATATGGTGTTGACCTACTTTACCAACAATGGGTGCCTGGGGGTTAAACATAAAACTTGGTATGGCTTCAGGAGAAGCCTCCAGACGTTCTGTCGATTCAGCAGAATCTCGGGTTGTATATATTGTAACAGGTCAGGGTGGTACAGTGGTAGAGGTTGAGGCTGGCAATCTGCTAGTTGTGGGTTCGAGTCGCCTAAGCGCTCTTGTTGATTTTCCCAATAACAATAATAATTAATAATAATAATAAGTAATGGCAAAGTCTTCTCACAGACATAATAACAAAGGATAAAAACCCACACTTGTGTATTTGTGAAATTTATGTAAAAAATTTACACCAAGTCTAATGCACTTCTCTGAGTGCTTTGTTAAGGTCTAAGTACAGTATGTGATTAGGACGAGACTTACACCTTAGCAGCTAATCAATTGAGATTAGATGTTGCGATGTAAGTCTCATCCTAATCATATACTGTACTCAGACCTTAACAAAGCACTCAGAAGAGTGCATTAGACTTGGTGTAAATTCTTTACATAAATGTGGGTTTTCATCCTAAATAGTAATAATTAAAACAGAGTTCAAATATACTGTACAGTAAAAATCTAAAGGGAAAGGGAGAAGGACTGGTGACTGTGGGGGGGAGGAGTATGAAAGTCACAGGAAGGTGAAGGGAAGTAAATAAGATGAGAAAGGGGCAGCAACAATAGGAGGAAGAGGATAGGAAGAAGCAGTATATAGAAGGGAAGGAGAGAGATAGGATAATGGGGTGGAAGAGAATGGGAAGTGAATATCAGAGATCACATTTAGGTTCCCCCTTATTATACAATTTTTAGTGTACTGTAATTAAATATACTATTAAGAATTACATTACAGTTTAAACAAAAAAATCAAGATAGATGTACCTGTGTCTCCATCATCAGTTCGACAGAAGACAGTGAGGATAGTATCGGACAATCCTATGGTAAGCTCCACAATTCTTGATGGCTGAAGACTTGTGGGCCATATAACCTGGTGAAGAGTCACTCTGCTCCTGTTCACTCCACCTGTAAGTTATCATGCACAAATATTTTTATCTTTGTCTACATTTGGTTTCTATTGTCAGGGATACGAAAGCCAATTAAGGTTGCCGAGGTCTCTCCTAGCTAACGACTGGCCTTTTCCAGGGCATGACCCACAACAGTGCTGTCTACTAACTCTCATGTATCTATTTACTGCTAGGTGAAGATGCATTAGGTGCAAGTAAAAATTCTCTGAGGTTTCTCTCTTTGAAAACAAACCCAGGACCAACTGATCATGAGCCTACTGCACAAACCACGGCACTTTATAATATGCCTCATGCAAAAGGTGTATTCTGCACAATTTAAGCCAATTAATTCAGTATTAGAGTCTAAAATAAGAATCTATGCTACATTTACTTGGTTTGATATCTACTACTAGTAGTGGCTTAGCCAGGGAAATTACACAGGATGAAATGGTCCACCTTCCAGAGAAGTATACTCTCACAGTTTTATTATTTTCCAACATAAAAGTATAGTACTGTACATATTGTACAGTACTAGAGCAGGTACTTCATATTGCCTGCTCTCCACAGCAATTTGGCAATGAAACATTTTGTGGTTAGAGTTTAGTTTCTCTCTTTGTCTATCCACATAGATGAGGCAATGGCCTCATGAGAGCCTCATAAGGCAATGGCCTCATGAGAGCTTCATAAGGCAATGGCCTCATGAGAGCTTCATAAGGCAATGGCCTCATGAGAGCTTCATAAGGCAATGGCCTCATGAGAGCTTCACAAGGCAGTGGCCTGATTTCTTGCCTGGTTGGCAATCAATACCAGATGATCTAAGTGATTGGGCATTGTTCCTTCACTCTGTTATCATATCCTTTAATATCCTTCATTTAGTGCTTTCTCCTTATAATAATAAATACCAGTAATTCTCACCTTTTCTTCCAAGAAATGTTCGATGCCTAAAATTTGTTACGTAAAGACGTCTTTCAGAGTCTGCCATTGCAACAGTGTCTCCAGTTGAGGAACAGGAAAGGGAACTCCATTCTCTCATCTCTGATCCTGTCCTTTGTAAGCCAAGACTGACAACTTCTATAAGCTTGCAGGTCTTTGTATCATACTCATCTAACACAATATGTTAAGGAAAAAATCTTGCTGCAAGCTCTCTCACCATTCAAAACCCTGGGTGGTAAGTTTAAAGCAGAGGCCAATGGCACCACAAGTGTGATAAAGAATGTAGCACCGAGTGAAATTACCCTCCTCTTACTGAGCAGCCCAATGACAGCTTCCCTAGTCTTGTATACTAGGCCTGTCAGGACATCATCAATCTGCCAGGATCTTGTTCCAGCTATAAATGAGGTAGGGTGCTAAACATACCTCAACTCTTGCAAAATTATCTTCAAACATTTCTTGGAGACAATAATGCCAAGAATCACTCCAACCTTCTGAACCACTGAGCATGCTGCCTGACATCAGATGCCAGCGATAGAGCACACTAGGGCCAGGAGAAGCAGGCCATCCTACTATGCCCTGACTACTGCAAATGCTTTTCAGTACAGTATTGAAAATGAAAGACCTTACATGTAGGGTATAGCAATATACATCATATCATATATATAAACAACATGAACAAGCAAAATATTGATGATGAAAAGATGAAAAGGGCCTACAAGTTATGAACCACTAGTTATTTTATGTTGCTCAATAAGTAACAAGAATGTAACAACTCTTGTATATATCTCAAAAAAAAAAAAAGTAAGAGCTACAGTAACAAAAATCCAAACAAACTTTAGGAATAATCAATTGAACCTTTTACTTCATGAAAAGGAAAGTGGCTATTCAGCTGCACAACTCTGGTGCACTTGCATCTAAACTATTGGGACAAACTAAAATGCCTAAATCTCTATTCTCTAGAGTGCAGACAGAAAAGATACATAATAATTTTACACATGGAAAATATTAGACAGGCTGATCCCAAATCTGCATCCAGATATAACATCAAATGAGACCAGAAGGCATGGCAGGATGTGCAGAACACCCCCCGTTGAAAAGCAGAGGTGCAATATGTACGCTGAAAGAGAACTCTATCAACATCAGAAGCCCAAGACTGTTCAACACGCTTCCACTACAGATAAGGGACATAACTGGCCGACCCCTGACAGTGTTCAAGAGAGAACTGGATAAACACCTCCAAAGGATACCTGACCAACCAGGCTGTGATTTATGTCAGGCTGCCAGCAGCTGCATCCAATAGCCTGGTTGACCAGTCCAGCAACCAGGAGGCCTTGCCAGGGACCGGGCCGCAGGGACGTTGACCCCTGAAATCATCGCAAGGTAACCCGCATCTAGACTACTGTATCCAAGGTTGAAGACCTCAGCTTCAGAAAGACATATCTGTTTTGGAAAAAGTTCAACACAGAGCAACAAAAATTATCCCAGAACTAAGTCAACTCTCATATCAAGAAGAGTTGAGGGTCTCATGACTAATACACTGAAAACCAGAAAAGAAAACAAGATATGCATTTTGATCCATTGGGTAATAAAACTATAGAGCTGCCTATCTGCCAAAGCCATAAATGCCAAAACAGTACTTCAGTTTAAAATTCAGCTACCAAAATATCCTGAATAATGGGGAAAATTTTTGACAAGCCATCAGATTCATGTCCCCCCACCAAGGATGCTAGAGATGGTGGCCCCTTAGGTACATTAACTCTCTCAAACTGAGACTTAAGGGATTGGGTGTCAGACACTACTGGTACATAGACCAATACCTCAAAACCTGATCAGCAAAAGCAAGAAGACTAGAATAGTTGTCATAAATATATTTATAAGTACAATAATGTACCCCTTGAGTACATTAACCTAAGGGTTAATGTACCCCTTGGGAACATTATTCAGCACCTTTACTGAAATCCCTGAATATGTTAAAATATAAATTCACTGTGCACACACAAAAGTGTACTCTATAACTATTAAACTTTGAATTGCAGTACTAATCCCGATCTTAAACGCTTCTTAGAGGGCTATAACAGAACCCTAAGGCACCATATGTGAAACAAATATATTTGATATTCCAAAACGGAAATGGCTACCAAAACAGAAGTGGCTTCCAAATTAGTGGTCCTAAACTGTGTAATGACCTCCCAATTGTGATTAAAAGCTGCACTTCTCTCAACCAGTTTAGAAGAGAAACTAAGAAATACTTAATTAACATTATGTAACCAATTTTGCTCACATTTTCTCACCCTACATATCAACCTGTATTTTGCTGTTATTGTGAACACTAGTTACTATATTTGTATTATTAAAAACTGCCGTTTCTAAATGTCACTTAAAAATTGTAAATCATTTGCTAAATCTCTTTAATAATGAAAAAATGTGAACTTGCTTCTCATACTTCTCATTTAAGTTATTATCCCTTTAAACTTTCAAATAATCTCCTGATTATATTTTTATGACTGAAATGTTCTGCGTGTTTGTGCGTTTATGTAATGTACTGTATACTGTATTTCTAACCTACAAATTTTCCATTGTATCATGCACTAAATGTATGTAATTAATATAAATAAAATCCACTATTATGCCATATTGTTATGTCCGTCATAATATAAAAGCATCACTAAGTTGAAAAATACTTAAAATTACTACTTTCAACATGTAATGTATTACAGTATTATAATATATTACCAGCCAAAAGAAGTGACATATAAAAATAGAAAGCAATTAATGAAAAGGATACATAAATCAGTCCCAGTTATAGGCTGTGCCAAGATCATATTTTTGTAGAGATGTGCTGTACGAAGAGGTGGAGTGCGAAGAACCCCTTGTGTTGAGGGGCGGCCTCCAGCATTGGTGGCAAGAAGCACTAGACGATCACTTTGAGGCTGTAGTAGAATGAAGTACTCTGTGTGGCCCCATACTCTTGGGCTACGAATTGAGCGTATGCCTGTATATGATCAAAAATTAGTTAAAAGATTATCAAGTATTCATGGATTCAAGATAACCTGGGATGCAGATAATCAATTTGACAGTAAAAGTTTTAAACATTGTATGGATTAATACAGTATAAAGGAATTTTGAAGTGATTAATTTGAAATGAGGCAATATGTGCACAAAGTGAATGAAGATACCCAAGTAACATTATTTGAAGTCTAAAGATTCAATGGAACTTGTAGTGCAAACACATCTAGGTGTGTACAAAAGATAACCTTTGCTACAATTAAGCTACCCATTTATAAAGGTCACCCCACCCCCTCCAATGACAAACCATCAATGACTATCATTTAACTACTTTTTACAGTAGACACAAGTACAGTACATAGTAACTATACTATGGCAGTGATAAAACATATGTTTCATGTAAGAAAGTGTAGTGTACAATGTAAAATAGTTATATTGTACAATGTTGGATAGTTATACTGTTCAATGATTTATTATAAACCACAGAAATATGTGTATAACACAAAGCTATTGCAAAAACTATGACGTAACAAGCTCGAGCCTTTTGTGCCTTATTGTGCATTATGGATTAACTAAAATGTTCAGAAAAGCTTACTTGAGTCTTTCTCCCTGATGAGGGAGAGAAGAGATGGAGCAGATAACTGAAGTGAGCAGGATAGACCGGTATCAAAGTGCACAGAATACCGGATCAGGCTTCCATTTTGGCAGGTAATAATTACTTCACTCTCACATCCACGTTGCCAGCATGCACTGTAGACAATTCCCTTATTTTAGTATAATAATTCTCCTGTTCGAACAATATGTGGAACAATTTAAAATATATAATTATTTGACTATTGCTGCTAACAGTGGCTAGTTTATAATGCACTCGATACTCATTCAGTGAGTGGTAACAAACGGATTATACACGAGACGAAAGGTCTTAATTAATCAGATATGACACGAGAAACAAATATATGTTCCATGTTCTAATAGTCTGACTTAACCAAGCATAAAAACCATGTAAGTAAAGGGTCCTGAATTATAGAATAACCATCCAAATGCAATAATATATTGTAATATCTTTAACAAATTGAAGATAAGAAGATAAAGAAAAGTACCCAATTGACATTATGCAGTTATTTATGTATCTGAGACACCAAACACCGTAAATCTTTCATATAGCTTTCATCATAAATCAGCCAATTGTGTTTACTGTTATTTAAAGTTTTAAAATACTATAGTATTTATTGTAACAACTCTCCTGTAGTACAGTAATCTTTGTTCTCGACTCACAATTGGGGATCCTGGGTTCAATCCTCATGTATAATGTATATGATGTGAAATAACCTATGAATATTCATTTTGTATATTTTTTTGAGATATATACAAGAGTTGTTACATTCTTGTACAGCCACTAGTACGCGAAGCGTTTCGGGCAGGTCCCTGGAATACGATCCCCACGAAGAATCGTTGTTACAACCAAGTACCCATTTTACTGTTGAGTTAAACAGAGGCTACAGTTAAGGATTTGCGCCCAGTAAATCCTCCCCGGTCAGGATACGAACCCATGACAAAGCGCTCGCGGAACACCAGGCGAGTGTCTTACCACTACACCACAGTGACTAACTAATAGTTGTTAGTATAAATGTTATAATACTATACATTACCATAACGCCGAGAATAAGTCACCACAAATATACAATAAAAACTAAATCTATATGTACTAATTTACAATTCTAAATACTGTTTTGTATGAGTAAACCTATATGTTTATCTGACAGTGGGCGTGTCACTTTACCGTCACTCACCCTGACACGTCCGGGAGAACCTTGGAGGTGACCTTCTTGTTCACCCACACTGTTATTATTAACCTCCCGTCATCCAGCAGGATAGAGAAGCCTTTATTGTTAACTTCTAAGTCTGTTCTGAGGACATGCTGGACATGAGCGACAATGTCAGGCAGCTTCTTCACCAAGACCAGTTTGTTGACGTTACTGTGGCCCGCCATATTTGTTTACCCCTGGTCAGCTGACTCCGTGCGTTGCTGCCACCTGTCCTACAGTGGTGCCGCACTCTCACCTACTTTACCTCAGTTTACCTGAAGACCACTATCTCTCTAGTGGCCTCGACCGGGACAGGAAGCCGGCAGTTTGTCAGAGGTCCCCCCATTGCTCTTGAGGATTGTTGATTTGCCTGAAATAAACGTATAATTTCTTATTCCAATACAGTTGGAACAAACAGAATTTTTTTTTTTTAAATAGTAAGACATGGGTTGACATTCAGAAGTAAGGTAGATTAACTCCATGTAACCTACTTTACTTCTAAATCTCAACCCATGTCTTACTATTAAAAAAAAAAAATCTGTTTGTTGACCAACTTGTATATTGGCTATTTTCTACCATGTTCCCCCCGTTTTTTTTATTTTATTATTTTTTTTTCATTCAGCACAATTTATACTTTAAGCTCAATTACTATTAAGTTTTAGTCTAAGTGTTTTTTTCCCCCACCTCTCCTTGCCCGACACGCTATGCGTACTAGTGATTGATGAATTGATTGATGAAGATTAAGCCACCCAAAAGGTGGCACGGGCATGAATAGCCCGTAAGTGGTGGCCCTTTTGAGCCATTACCAGTATCAAGAGCTGGTACTGGAGATCTGTGGAGGTGCGACTGCATCCTGCGTGACGGGAGATGTCTCCCGTCCATGACTGGAGATTGTACTGGCGTACTAGTGGCTTTAGGTACTGTATGTACTACCTCTAGCTATAAATCTAACACAATGTTTGTACTGTAACTCTGCAACTATGTATGTACTGTTCCTAAATAAATTATTATTATTATTATTATTATTATTATTATTATTATTATTATTATTATTATTATTATAGTTGCGGTTTGAGTGTTAGATGAGTTTATTTTTTTGTCATCTCTGCATTTTATCATTTTCTTTACATGTCTCAGAATTAGTATATACAATTAAATTAATATATTACAATGTGCCGCGGATATGGACAATAAAATGTAAGGTTCCATTATGTGCGTACGATGGTTATATATGGAGTGTATAGAGTAATTACTGTATATACCGTGTTGATGGCTAGACGAGTGGCGGCGGGGGCTTAGTCTTCCTAACACTAGTTACCTGCCACATTATATTGGACCCAGCTTCAGCTCCTGGGCCCCGCCTCTCCAACTGTTGGTCGTTTAATACGAAGAGTGACTGCCACCCCTGTTGCTTCTCATCTGCTTCTTAAATTGTGGGACGCTTTAACCTGGGTTCGTATCCTGGCCGGGGAGGATCGACTGGGCACCAATCCTTAACTATACGCCTCTGTTCACCCAGCAGTTAATGGGTACCTGGTTGTTAACCCATATGACGGGTCGTGTTCCGGGGAACATTAGGATTAAGGACCTGCCAGAAACACTATGCGTGCTGCTGGCTGTACAAGAATGAAAGAACTCTTGCATATATAAATAAATAAATACAAATAAAGGCAGTGGAAATAACTACTATATACTCCCGTGGTTACAGCCAGCTCACGCACAAGACAGCACATATATGACTATAGTCACATATGTGCCTTATGCTTATAGTCACTATTTCGCTTTTAAATAAGTATATATGTGACATTCTAAGCCATATTTTTTTCAAGGCACTAACTTTTCCTCTCAGTTTTATTAAACGCAAGCACTTACGAGCCTGTACATCTTTTCTCAATCTTTGGCGGCTTTGTTTATAATTATTATACTGGTAATGAGCTCCGAAGCACCAGGAGGCTGTTTATAACAATAAGAACAGTTGATTGGCAAGTTTCCATGCTCGTAAACTGTTTAATAAATGTAACCAAAGCCGTCAGAGATTGAAGAAAGATGTACAGGTTCGTAAGTACTTGCGTAACTGCTTCGTGAAACTGGCCCCCAGGGGGGGGGGGGCAGGTGCAACAACTGCAGCCCGCCCCCCAGGGACACAGCTCCCACACACAAGGTGTAGTGTACACGTCGGGTCTCGTGCCTCACCAGCACCACCACAACAGGTCTACACTTACTGTTCAAGTCTCACATTACTGTTGTGATGACAAGACGTCCCTGGCACTACCTCTGGACATTTACTCTACCTCCACAACCCCGCGGCTAAGACAGGGCTAAACACCAACAAACAACAGACTGAAGCAGCCCGAAACTTGTCACGGAAGTTGAGTTTACGGCCTTTCTTACCCCCCCCCCCCACACACACAATACTTGGATCCTCTCCAAACTTACCACCACAATACTTGGATCCTCTCCAAACTTACCACCACAATACTTGGATCCTCTCGAAACTTACCACCACAATACTTGGATCCTCTCCAAACTTACCACCACAATACTTGGATCCTCTCCAAACTTACCACCACAATACTTGGATCCTCTCCAAACTTACCACCACAATACTTGGATCCTCTCCAAACTTACCACCACAATACTTGGATCCTCTCCAAACTTACCACCACAATACTTGGATCCTCTCCAAACTTACCACCACAATACTTGGATCCTCTCCAAACTTACCACCACAATACTTGGATCCTCTCCAAACTTACCACCACAATACTTGGATCCTCTCCAAACTTACCACCACAATACTTGGATCCTCTCCAAACTTACCACCACAATACTTGGATCCTCTCCAAACTTACCACCACAATACTTGGATCCTCTCCAAACTTACCACCACAATACTTGGATCCTCTCCAAACTTACCACCACAATACTTGGATCCTCTCCAAACTTACCACCACAATACTTGGATCCTCTCCAAACTTACCACCACAATACTTGGATCCTCTCCAAACTTACCACCACAATACTTGGATCCTCTCCAAACTTACCACCACAATACTTGGATCCTCTCCAAACTTACCACCACAATACTTGGATCCTCTCCAAACTTACCACCACAATACTTGGATCCTCTCCAAACTTACCACCACAATACTTGGATCCTCTCCAAACTTACCACCACAATACTTGGATCCTCTCCAAACTTACCACCACAATACTTGGATCCTCTCCAAACTTACCACCACAATACTTGGATCCTCTCCAAACTTACCACCACAATACTTGGATCCTCTCCAAACTTACCACCACAATACTTGGATCCTCTCCAAACTTACCACCACAATACTTGGATCCTCTCCAAACTTACCACCACAATACTTGGATCCTCTCGAAACTTACCACCACAATACTTGGATCCTCTCCAAACTTACCACCACAATACTTGGATCCTCTCCAAACTTACCACCACAATACACAGTCACTGTAAAGTAGGACTATAACTGCAATTATAAGCAGGCAGAGGAGTTAGGGGAGACATGATTACCACATATACAATTTGCCCATATCTTAAGAAGCACATCAACAAACTGGAAAAGGTGCAAAGACATGCTACTAAGTGGCTCCCAGAACTGAAGGGCAAGAGCTACGAGGAGAGGTTAGAGGCATTAAATATGCCAAAACTAGAAGACAGAAGAAAAAGAGGTGATATGATCACTACATACAAAATAGTAACAGGAATCGATAAAATTGATAGGGAAGAATTCCTGAGACCTGAACTTTAAGAACAAGAGGTCATAGATATAAACTAGCTAAACACAGATGTCGAAGAAATATAAGAAAATTCACTTTTGTAAACAGAGTGGTAGACGGTTGTAACAAGTTAGGGGAGAAGGTGGTGGAGGCCAAGACCGTCAGTAGTTTCAAAGCGTTATATGACAAAGAGTGGTGGGAAGACGGGACACCACGAGCGTAGCTCTCATCCTGTAACTACACTTAGGTAATTACACACACACACACACACACACACACACACACACACACACACACACACACACACACACACACACACACACACACACACACACACACAGGACACACACACACACAGAAACAGGAGGCCAGACAAAGAATACAGAATAGGAGATGAAGTACTTAATGAAACAGACAGAGAGAGAGATCTAGGAGTTGATATCACACCAAACCTGTCTCCTGAAGCCCACATAAAAAGAATAACGTCTGCGGCATATGCGAGGCTGGCTAACATTAGAACAGCGTTCAGGAACCTGTGTAAGGAATCATTCAGAATCTTGTACACCACATATGTCAGACCAATCCTGGAGTATGCGGCCCCAGCATGGAGCCCGTACCTTGTCAAGCACAAGACGAAGCTGCAAAAAGTCCAAAGGTATGCCACTAGACTAGTCCCAGAACTAAGAGGCATGAGTTACGAGGAAAGGCTGCGGGAAATGCACCTTACGACACTGGAAGATAGAAGAGTAAGGGAGACAGGATCACACCCTACAAAATCCTTAGAGGAATCGACCGGGTAAACAAGGATAAACTATTCAACACTGGTGGGACGCGAACAAGGGGACACAGGTGGAAACTGAGTACCCACATGAGCCACAGAGACGTTAGAAGGAACTTTTTCAGTGTCAAGAGTAGTTAACGGATGGAATACATTAGGCAGTGATGTGGTGGAGGCTGACTCCATACACAGTTTATAATGTAGATATGATAGAGCCCAGTAGGCTCAGGAACCTGTTCATCAGTTGATTGACAGTTGAGAGACGGGACCAAAGAGCCAGAGCTCAACCCCCGCAAGCACAAATAGGTGAGTACACACAGGTATGAAGGGCTAGGAGTGGGCTCTGACGCGCCGTTGTCACAGCTAGGTCAGCACACACACACATAAGGTGAAACCCACCAATAAAGTGGCCAAACATTGGCCCGGTAACGAGGCTTATGGCGGTAATAACTCCCTGCCACTCCCCCCACTCCCCTCCCCCACGGTGTTACAACATGAGTGTCACAACTGCATATTTACCACCACCCTCCCACAGGCGGCATGGAGGAACAACAGTGGAGGGAAATATATCCTAGCACCACATGGAGGAACAGCAGTGGAGGGAAATATATCCTAGCACCGCATGAAGGAACAGCAGTGGAGGGAAATATATCCTAGCACCGCATGAAGGAACAGCAGTGGAGGGAGCACCAC